TTTCTTATTACATACAATATTCGTATTCATTTTCTAAAATCATCAAGCGCCGATGACTTTGAAAATGGGAATATATTACGAGGTCCTGTTCCTTTTTGTCTAATTCCATAAAATATAACCTAAGAAATAATTTTCATTTCACATTTACGTCGTTAAAAATTTTAAAAGAAGATATTGCATTTAATAATTATTTATTACCATTTTAAGATGAAGAACAAAATTTATTTATAATCTATTACTTAACTTTTTTAAAAATTTTATTAAAAATTTAAATTAATTAATATTCATTAATTATTTAATTTACTTACAAATTTTTTCGAAATTTTAAGAAGTCTTCCTTAATTATATTCATTAAGAATTTTAATTAATTTTTGTAAAATTTTACTATTTAATTTAATAGTTCTAATCTCTGTTTTAGTAATTTAAATTTTTTAATATTCTAATTGAAAAATATTACTTTAATTTAAGAATAATTCGAGTAGTTATATTTTACATTATAAAAGTCAACATACGTTTACGTTTATACGAATGCTGTTAAGGTCCAATTATTGGAGGCGCACCATTATAGGAAAAAAGTCATACAATTCGAGGCCTGACTTTACTATGTAAAGAAAATAGATGATTTTAAAATGATGATTATTTTAAAGATGGAAAAATATTGATATTGTTTATTAATTCTACTACACAAAATTTACTCACAATATATTTATTTCTACATAATAAAATTAACATTCACATAAAATAAAAATAATTGTTCATTTGCAGTGAAACTAAAACAATTTATTTTTAAAAATAATATTTATGGGTTAGTCCACTGACTTTCGTCTAATAGTGGTTGCGACCAAATTTTAAAAAAATCTAGTTTTAATATTTGTGAAACTCGATGATTCCCTGAGTTCATAAACCATAATACTATGGTAAAAATTTTATTCCTTTTAAAAATATTAAATATCAAAAGTAGGAGGTTCACAATGTGATTTTGTAACCTTAAATTTTTCAAATTTTTTTAAAACGCTATTATTAAAAAACTATTAAAAATTAGATGTTGGAACTCACCAAAAACATAAATCACTTTATTCTGCACAGAGGAACGAAAGAATTATTACAAAAATTTATTATTTTTGGATGATATACGATTTTAAAAAAAATTTTATTTAAATATTCTCAAGATTTTTATTTACTTATAACTTTTTTGTCGGTGCTCCGAAAAAATTGAGGTTTTGCACAAAGATTTTTTAAAATATTCTTTACCTTCTATTAAAATCTTACGAAGGTGTTTTGCTTCGTTTTGAAGATATTAATCTTCAAAATTTTTTATTTAAAAAGATTAATTAAAAGACTTGAAGTTAACTGACCCACACAGCACCGAAAGTTTTGTATTAAAGCTGTGCGTGCCAAGTTGGAAAAATTTACCGTAAAGCTTAGCACAGGTTGTGTAAATATGTAAATGTCCGCAATTGAGTAAATGTTTAGCGTAAAACTGTACTGAATCTTTAAATTACATATTTGGTACAGGTTTAGCGTAAAAGTTGCCTGAACATTTAAAATAAATCTTTTGTAAAGTTTTATCATAAAATTTGCTTAAAAATTAAAATTAAATCTTTATTACAGTTTTAGTGTCTGATGCATAATGGTAAAATTACTTAGCAAAAAGCTGCCAATCCTAAGTGGATTGCAGAAAAAAGGTAAAAATAATTTAATTTAAATTAAATAATTTTAATTTATTGAAATTAATGAAATTTTTATTTAAAAAAGAACATAAAATGTATACAATTTTGAAACAAAAAATTCTTATTTATAAAAACTTCTTTTTATGAGTGCATTTTTTTCAGATGTTCAGGAGATTTTAAGGATTCACCATATCACTACCATTAATTAATTTATTAATAAATATATTTGTGTTCATTGTATTTAAACCTTTTTTTTATTATACCATTTCCCACTATACTAGTTATTTTTTTATTTATATGAATTGATAGCATCATTTGCAGTTAATATTTTCCGCTCAGTATAATTTTTTTATTGAAAAAACATTAATTCTACAAAAAACTTTAATGAAAATGTAATTAACACTTTTTGTAGTTTAATTTCGCACTAAATATTTAATAAAGCTTTAATTTAAATTTATAGACAATTTCTACACTAAAACTGTAATAAAGATTTAATTTTAATTTTTAAGCAAATTTTATGATAAAACTTTACAAAAGATTTATTTAAATGTTCAGGCAACTTTTACGCTAAACCTGTACCAAATATGTAATTTAAAGATTCAGTACAGTTTTACGCTAAACATTTACTCAATTGCGGACATTTACATATTTACACAACCTGTCCTAAGCTTTACGGTAAATTTTTCCAACTTGGCACGCACAGCTTTAATACAGGTTTAGGAAACTTTCGGTGCTGTGTGGGTGACCAATTTTAAATCGATACATTTTAATATATTTTCATAAAAAGTGGAGCAGTTTGAATTTGGTTAGTTAACTTCCAGTCTTTTAATTAACCTTTTTAATTAAAAAATTTTGAAAATTAATATATCCAAAACGAAGCAAAACACCTTCGTAAGATTTTAATAGAAGGTAAAGAATATTTTAAAAAATCTTTGTGCAAAACCTCAATTTTTTCGGAGCACCGACAAAAAAGTTATAAGTAAATAAAAATCTTGAGAATATTTAAATAAAATTTTTTTTAAAATCGTATATCATCCAAAAATAATAAATTTTTGCAAAAATTCTTTCGTTCCTCTGTGCAGAATAAAGTGATTTATGTTTTTGGTGAGTTCCAACATCTAATTTTTAATAGTTTTTTAATAATAGCGTTTTAAAAAAATTTGAAAAATTTAAGGTTACAAAATCACATTGTGAACCTCCTACTTTTGATATTTAATATTTTTAAAAGGAATAAAATTTTTACCATAGTATTATGGTTTATGAACTCAGGGAATCATCGAGTTTCAGAAATATTAAAACTTGATTTTTTTAAAATTTGGTCGCAACCACTATTAGACGAAAGTCAGTGGACTAACCCTTATATAATGTCACTTTTAATTTTTTGACATTTTTACTTTTAAAACGAGACGATTCTAAAAATAAATATTCAAAAAATTTTAATTGACAAACACGCATAAATAAATCATTTCTTCGAAAACTATAATGCCACTTATTTTTTAAAATAAAATCATTCAGATTAATTTTTGAAACGAATATAAAAATTGTCAACGTTGTTATTTTTTATCAGTTAATATGTTAAAATGTATAACATATGTCATATTTTTGTTGCAAAAAGGTTACAAAATAACGTCCTGAACCTTATAATTTTAATTATTAATAAATTCCATGTAAGAAAAAATATGTCACTTTATTACGTTTAATAAACTAAGAAAAATATCAATTAATTCGTTTCAATGCAATGAATAAAAATGCATAAATAGTTCATTAATATTATTAACAGGAAAAAATACGTATTATATAAAAAAAATAAAAATGTTAATTTTTTTTTAAAACAAACAGTGATATACTTATGTACTGTCAACCCACGATTTTAAGTTTCTATATAGATGCGTCAAAAACAAAAATTTTTTTTCGTCCACCTTATAGAAACTCTTCAGAAGGTTAAAAATTTTTTTTTTTATTATAAATGTATTTTTAAATATGGTAAAAAAAGTTTTTTTTGTGTTTACTTTATAAAGAAAATGACGGTTAACATTATCAACAAGTAATTATAAAGATATAAAATGTAGAGATAAATTGAATAAAAAAATGAAAAGAATAGTTACCAGCGATAGGAATAATTTCAATCGATTCTGTTTGAGGATTATTCTTTTTCGTGGAACTAATTTCATTTTTGCTTCTAATCACGGTTTCTCGGATTTTCTTCTGAAGTTGTTCACCCCCGAAAGTTTAGAATGATACTGTTTAGCTTTAGGTTCACGAATCTTTCGAGAATCGAGGGTCAGTGATGAAGGCCCAAAGCAAAAACCCCCACTTTTTTATCCCTACTTCCAACATTTTAGTAGCATAAGGGAAGGGCCAATTATTATCGTTTCACGACTTTTCCCCTAACATGTATATACGGTTAAATCTCTTCCAAAACAATTTTCTGCTGTCGAAAATTCAATTAATTAATGAATTACTAAGCATGTAATTCAATTTAATTAATTAGTATTAATACTGTATATATAAGTATATAATATTAACAAAAAAAAATTTCTTTTTTCAAAGAACAAAAGTTGTGCTAAAGTTTTGTAAATAATTATTTCGCACAACTTTTGCTTTTTAATAGTTATATAATTAGAATTTTCATTTCAAATAAAGGATTATCAATTTTCTTTGGAAATATTGAAATTTGTCCAAAAAAAAAACTATTGAGACTGATATTAGTAAAAATATTATTTGTCTAAATGAAAAAATTTTTTTGCAAAGAAATTATCATCCCACAGGACTATACAAAATATCCAAGTTTATAGATAAATGTTATTTTCACCTTAAAATTTCTCATGTAGGAAAAAATAAATTGGTTAATTTAAAATTGAAATAATGATAAATGTAATTTCAAATTAAATTAAAAGGATGAATATATATATATTTTTTTTTTTTATTGTATTTTTAAATGAGGAAGCAAAATTATTTTCTTTTTGTGTTTACTTTAAATAGAAAATAACTTTTAAGATTAGCCACAAATAATTATAAAAATCAAAAGAATATAGTTAACAGCAACAGGAGTAATTTCAATCGATTTTGTTTCAAGATTTTTATGCTTCACGGAATTAATTTCATCTTCACTTATTGAATCATGGTTTCATAAAAAATGTTAATAGATTATTTTATTAATTATTATTTTACAATATGAATTTTAATTCAAAATAAGGTGATATAAAAAGTAATTTTTGATTAATTGAAATTTTTTTTAAAAATACATGAAATAAAATTTTTTAAAAAATTAATGACTGAAGAAATAAATTTGACACAATTTTTTATTTTAAAATTATATTTATATTTATGAAACATTAATTTTTTTCAATTTTTGAAAATAAGTTTATAATTTCGAATAATATATAGAATCCAAATACAACAAGATCCAAAAAATATGTAGAAAAAAAATAGATTAGAAAAAAAAATTGAAATATTTCTAAAATAAATTAAATAAACAATGCAACGAGTAAGTTCCACAATAGAGCCATATTTATATTTATCAAATAATAAACCAATTGATGTTACGCTCCATAAATTATTTATGATCAAATTTGTCGATTGCAATATATCAACATTCTGAAAAAAAATTCATGTACAGAATTGTTTATGATGAAATAATTAAAATTAAATAAATATTTAAATATCTAAAAATAGGGGGTCAGTTGGGATAAATGGGGACAAAATCCCTATTTTTCACAAATCACGTAAGTTTCTTCCTTTAAAAGGTATAATATTTGCGGGTTTTATTTTTTTTTAAGTTGTTATTTACATTCCCAGGATTAATTTTATACAGCAGAAAAAATTTTAGATAAGCTTTAAACGCATGAAACTTACTGTCCCTATTTACCCCAAAATTTAGAAAATTTCATAAAATTTGGGGTAAATGGGGACAGCATAGTTTCTAAGAAAGATTTAAGAAAAAAGTTTCTTTAAGTATATTACTGTATTAATGAATGAAAAAACTTTTAAAAAAATAGTTGAACCAATTGAAATTTTTTTATTTTTTTTATTTCAGTATTTTGTCTCGCATTTAAAAAAAACAGACTTAAAAATCATACCAAATTATTTTCTTATTCCTTATGACTCCCATAACAGAAATTCACTTGAATTTTTGACTTTTGTTAATTTGGTTAATAATGACTATAGCTGTCCCCATTTACCCTGAGTTTTCAAATTTTTGGGGTAAATGGAGACAGCTTGTCATTATTAACCAAATTAACAAAAGTCAAAAATTCAAATGAATTTCTGTTATGGGAGTCATAAGGAATCACAGTTTTCCTAAAAGTATCAAATTGAGACCAAAAATTGCATCAAATCTTTGCAACGTTTTGATGCACATAAGTTATATCAAAAAGAGATCGTTTTGTGTATCATTTTTAGAAATGATACACGAAACGGTCTCATTTTTTGATGCAAAAAATTTAATCAATTTATATCAATCATGGTCGAATTGAATCGACTCAAAATTAAACGAATTTTTTTCAGATATTTTGGTAATAGTACAATTGCGGAGACCATTTCACTATTTAATTTGAAAATGAAAATAACAGAAAATCAAAGACAATGTGCAATTCGATAATTAAAAAGTGACAGCTTATAAACATAACCTAAAATGCATGAGAAAAAATTTGTCGATAAAATCAATATAGCCGAGCTTTTTAGAAGGTAGATGGCAGTTTTGCTTTTTATAAAAACGATTCAGAAAAAATTTAAAGAAAAAAAATAGATGAGTGCTGCCATCTACCTTCTAAAAAGCTCGGCTATATTGATTTTATCGACAAATTTTTTCTCATGCATTTTAGGTTATGTTTATAAGCTGTCACTTTTTAATTATCGAATTGCACATTGTCTTTGATTTTTTGTTATTTTCATTTTCAAATTAAATAGTGAAATGGTCTCCGCAATTGTACTATTAACAAAATATCTGAAAAAAATTCGTTTAATTTTGAGTCGATTCAATTCGGCCATGATTGATATAAATTGATTAAATTTTTTGCATCAAAAAATGAGACCGTTTCATGTATCATTTCTAAAAAATATACACAAAACGATCTCTTTTTGATATAACTTATGTGCATCAAAACGTTGCAATAGAAAAAGGTACAACCAAGTTTACTGTGAATAAGAAAATAATTTGATATGATTATTAAGTCTGTTTTTTTTAAATGCGAGACAAAATACTGAAACAGTTTGACTTTGATTTTAAAGTTTTTATGCATTGAGCGATAACTTGAATTATCTTGCTGCCAAAATCTCTTGTCCCCATTTACCCCAACTGACCCTATTAAAGAATATTAAAATAATTAAATAATTTTTAATAGAGTATAAAAAATTATATAATAAAAATATTTTTTTGTACTAAGAAACATAAATATTACTTACTGTTGATTCATCATAAATTTGTGTATGAAAATTCAAAACAAGTGAAAAATGTATTATTATATACAATTTTTGCCACTTTGGTATGCAAGTGTTATAATTTATTCTAGACTTCACCTAAAATTGAATAATAATTATTAATATCTAAACCATTTTGAAAAATTTGTATATGTATATATAATAAAATAATGTTTTGCATATAATTTTATGAATAATTTACATTAACTTTAAATTTATCGAGACCAAGTCGAGGAAGTCCTGGTAACCAACTTGGTCCTTTCCACATAACTGCAAGTTTATCTTGAAGTGATTTCATTTTTATACTTCTAATTAACATGGCTTTAGTGTAAAATGTCTGAAAGAACATTTTTTTTTTACAATAATACTCATTTATTAGAATTATTTCTATTTATTTTTATTTACCCATTTATTGGGTCAATCCATTACTGACTTTGTGTTTTATGAATAAATTTTACAATAAATTTTTTTTTACTATTTTATTTTTTTTTTATTTAGATTTCCCGCGTACACATTTTTTAAAGGTAATTTTTTTTACTAATTAATAAATAAAATTTAATTAATTTATAAACTATAAAGTTAATGATTTAGAAAAGTATAAAGTTAATGAAAAATTAAAATTATTTAATGTTAAAAAAAAATTTAATTCAAATCTGATTAAAAATGATGTACGTATTATTTATAATTTAATATAATTATTAAAAATATCTTACCTGTAAATAAATTGGATTAAAAGATTGTGGACTGACAACCAATCCATAAATAATATCAGGTTTAGGTAGTTCTTCCATAAATGTACCAAAAATTCGATCCCATATTATCAACATTCCTCCATAATTTTTATCAAGGCAGTATAAATTGCAACCTTAGAATAAAATTAATATTATATTTAAGTCCATAATGTTTAAAACCCCGTCAACCGGGGTAATTATACCATCCCAGGTGCAATATATTTAAGGGCAGGTCAAAGTCGATGCAATTTTCCCATTTGAAGTTCTATGTAAAAATTGCTTAAACTTTGACCTTCCCTTAAGGCCTGACCCAGATATAGCACAACAATTTGCAGCAATTCTTCAGCAAGTTTACAATGCCAAATTTGTTAGTTTGCAATGTAAATTTGCTGCAAAACTGTGGCAAATAGCTATATGTCCACGCTTTGCGAAGTTTGCATTTGCAGAAAATTTTTATGGCAAACTTGAAGAAAATTTGCTGATAATTTGCTCAAGTTCATGTCATGCGCAGTAGTTTTCTATGGCACTTAGGGCTGCGCAATAGATTTTAGTCGCCTTTCCTTTAGGAAAGGTTTGTAGTAACAAAATATCATCATATTTACAACAATGACATTTTTTAATTTTTGTCGAAAAATGTCCGCAAGTTTTCTTAAAATTTGTCATAAAATTTTCCTGCAATTTTTCTGAGAAATTTTTCTCCAAACTTGCAATGCGAACTTCGCAAAGCGAGGACTTATAGCCATTTGCCACAGTTTTGCAGCAAATTTACATTGTAAACTTATAATTTGGCATTGCAAATTTGCTGAAAAATTGCTGCAAAAAGTTGTGCTATCTGGGGAGCAGTATAGAAACGCAACCAGAATCGTAATTGCTAACGCAACCGGAAGTATGAGTTAGAGAAGGACAAACAATATGACTATCCTTCTCTAACTCATTCTCCCGGTTACGTTACTATTTTGCTCAGGCTTTACTGGTTTTGCGGACAAGTGGTGATTTCGACAATCAAGTTTTTACGGCGCCTCAATCAGATTACTTTAATTTTTTTTCTAAATCATTTGTTTTTAAGTATTTGAAAAGTTTATTTGTTATTCAAATATTTTATTAATTTTATAAATATTACTCATGTCCATTCAATGAAGATAAATAAAAACAATTCCCGCCTTACCCCACTTTCGTCTAATATTACTTAATTTTTTTTGTCAGATAGCTGAAACAAATTCGTAAAATCGTGTAAAGGCGCTCTCATACCTTTTTGATCGCCTGCAGGTTACCATGGCAACGCGTGAAAGTGAGTGTGACTCACCCGTGCGTTGCCATGGTAACCTGCAGGCAGGCAGCCAGCGAGAAAGGTGTGAGTGTACCTTTAAGGCCTGAGCAGTCATAGAAACGTAACCGGAATCGTAACCGCAAACGCAAGCGGAATAATAAGTAAGAGAAGGACAAACAATATGTCTATCCTTCTCTAACTCATTCTTCCGGTTGCGTTTGCGGTTACGATTCCGGTTACGTTTCTATGACTGCTCAGGCCTTAAAGGTACACTCACACCTCTTGACTGCCTGCCTGTAGGAGTCGTCATGTCAACGTACAGGAGTAAAAGAGATAGAAAATTCAAATTTAAATTTTCTCTCTCTTACTCACGTTGCCATGACAACTCCTGCAGTTATCCATCGAGGTTTCATCGAATTGGCCTGATATTATCGAAGCCACACCTAATACATTTTTTTTTTTTTGAAGAAGAAGAAGAAGAAGCCATCGAGGTGTGAGTGACTTATATAAAAATTTTAAACAATAAAATTATAAAGAAAAAATTTGTATTTTTGAAACGTCAATAACTTTGTAATAATTTATTGTAAAATTTATCAAATAATAATCAATCAATATGTTTTTAAATATCGAAATAAAATATAAATATAAAATAAAAATATAAATTAAAAAAAAAATGATAATATTTGATGACGGACCACTCAATTTTTGTTTTTATTAAGCAACAATTGTTTTCTCACATTATTTAGAATTTAAAAATGTTTTACGTTATCAAAATTAAAAAATATATATATTTCTGACCATTTTAGAAATTTAAATTTTTTGAAAAATGAAAATTTTTTAAAATCCATAGATTAATTATTTAAATTCATAATATAATAAAAGGTAAAAAAAAAAATTGTTGATGAAAAATATTGAAAATTGTGCAAAGAAGTTGAATATTAACCCTTTGAGGTCAAACTTTGTTTTTGGATCGCGGAGGTCACACTGGGTGGTTGCTACCCTTAGTAATTTTTAAGTGGCTGTAATTTAAAAATTGTTAATTTACAAAAACCATCAAAATTTGTGGATATATTTCAATGCTTTAAAAATCTGTTTCCTTATTATGTTTTAAATAAAAATATAAAATCTTTGTGATATCAAAAAAATTTCATGAAACTTTCAAGTTTTCCAGAAAAAATATCAATAGTTGAAAATATTGATGGGTGATAACCACCCAGTGTGACCTCGAAGGGTTAAAATAATTACCCGTGAACAATTAATTAAAATTTATACATTATATAGAGTTGTCAATTTTTTTCGACCTTTTTTCGAATCTAGAATCATATTAATTTAGACTCTCTATAAGTTCTCTAAAAACTTCTTTTTATCCTCCTTTTATTCTCTCCAACACTTTCATACCCTCTTTTCGACCTCGAATTTGCAAAAGTGGAAATATCTGCTATATTGGAGGCTGAAAGGAGGGTTTAAAGATGACTAGAGAGGCGTAAAAGAGGTTAAAAAAACAAAAAAAATAAAATTAAAAAAAATGTAAAAATTGGTTTTTTTTTCTTATGGACATTATTTATTGACCCTATTGAAGTTATATTTATTGGTCTTTGTCGTAATACTATAAAACTTTTAGGAGGAATAAAACTTCGAAAAATTCAAATTAAGAAAAAATTCCAAGACCTCTTTTCAACATCTAAACATGCAGATTTGGAAATAAGCGCATGATTTCAGGCTGAAAAGAGGCTGAGGAAATCGAGGGTGAAAATAGGGAAAAATTTCGACTCGGGTACATTATGGAAAATTTAAGAAAAATAATTTTTAAGGTATTAGTCGCGCGCCGGCTATAACCAAAAGTTTGTCTTGAGTCTGACTCAGTCTGTGCTTAGCAAGAGGTATAGTTCTGAGTCAAACTTTTTGAAGGGTACAGGTAAGTTTCACTCAGAGCGCCGCGTTCTCGCACGTGTAGAACTAAAGTTTTGATCGCGGCAACGTCGCAATCTGAATGTACCAGTGCTACTGAATGTTGGAGTCACAAAAAGTGTTTAGCTTCTTTAAAAGCTATTTTTGAATTATTTTTGATTAATAATTATGTATATAAATGCTTAAACTTTTTAAAAGTATGAGACTTACTAAGAATAATTAATAATTAAAGATGTGAATATTATTAAAAAAAATTCAAGTATGCTTCTTTGAAAACTAATTTTTAATTATTTATAATTAATATTTACATCAATAATGTATTATAAATTGGTTTATAAAGTAAAAAATAAATATTTTATCAAAAAATGTTTTTATTTCTTAACTGTTGAAATATAACCAACCAATTTAACGTTTCTCATTCTTATTTTTCTTAAAATATATGATTTAATTTAAAAAATTGAGAATTATTTAATACTAATCTATGTTGTGAAATTTTAAATATATTATTTTTTTATATAACTCTATGAGATATTCCTACTTTCTAACTGTGTACTTTGCATGATTTTGAATTTTGTATGCATTCGCGCGCTACAGCGTTGCCAAGTGTACTGCATTCCAGCAGTGGAACTTCATATAATTTAAAATTTTGTTAACTTTCTCCTAATATATTTATAGTTTGGTACGGTCAAAAAATTTCAGTTTTTTTGTATGCATTCGTTTCTAATGAAAGTATTATGTGGTAGTTTTATTTTAAAATCTGACGACTGGTTTTTATTTAAATAATTATAAAGCAAATTCCTTACATGCATTAGGTGCTCCGTCCATGTAAAAAGTATCAACTTTAAAATGATATTTTAAAGCTTAGGAACGGTCAAAATCGATGGGAATGGTCTTATTTTGTAGATAATTATGTCAGAAACACTCATGCAAAATTTAAAAAATATCTGACGAAAATGATTTTACGCGACTAATACCTTAACTGTTTTAGGTTTTTTAATTTTATTTAAAAAATTTTTTTTTTTTTTTAATTCAGCTTCGTAAAATTTTCGATGAAAAATGTTTTAAAATTGTAGAAAAAGATCAAATTTTAATTTTTCGTGAATTTTAGCGATGCTGAAGTACACACAACGTTTAGGATAAACGATTTTTAAAGAAATAATTCACAGTAAAAACAAAATCTGCAACCGAATGTAAGCTTACTTTAATTTTTAACTTATTTTAAGCAAGAAACTTTATTTAATAATGAAAATTAGCTTAAAATAAGAGTTAGTGGTTCTCTTACTATAAATAAGCTTATAATTCGACTGATTTTTAATTCACTGGTCTTAAGTAAAAAAAAGACGACAGTGACTTTTTAAAAGTCTTTACTTGAGCTGGGTGTCAGTCCGCCGAGTCTTAAAGTGGTAGTTGTGACGTCACAGGCAAAACGTCTGTTGTGAAAACGCCATAGCGTACGCGTACAGTGAAGCGTGGTTGAGAAATGATTTTCTCGTGTTTTAATTTTGGTTTTATTCATTTATAATTCACAAGAATGGGTTTTTTTACTGGGTTTTTAATATCGAATATTCCAGCAAAGCACGCATATCTTTCACCTTTGTCTCAGCTATACTATTTAGAAAAAAAGTCGCTAAATATTACCAAAAGTACAAAACTGTGTGGAACTTGTTGGAAGAGCTTAAATTATTCTAAACTGTTAATTCCTAACTTTATATGTATATATATATATATATTACGTATAATGTTATTTTTTAAATTTAGTTTGCAGAATTGAAAATGAAAATGACAAGATTTTTTTAAATATAAAAGTTCCTCGTCATTTTCATTTAAATAATGCAAATTTATAAATTAGAAAAAATTGTTATAAGTAATATAAATATATATATCAAAATTCTAATATGCTTTTAAGTCATAATTTAGGATTATTATCACACCAGGTTAACGCTGAAAGACAGTCTGTAAGGAAGCTTAATTTCAGCCCTCTTTTAACATAAGACTAAATGATAGTCTAAAACCTAACTGAATTTCAGTTCTTCAACAAGCTTAGAGCTAAATTTCAGCTCGTATGACATCTTACTTATAGTAAGATAAGGGTATTCTTTTTAAACATTTTTTGAGTACTGATTTTCAGTCAATATGATCTACTTCCGTTTACATCTTGAAAAAAGACAACTTATAAGCTTAAAAGAAGATTTTGTTTTTACTGTGTTGTTTTGAATGAAAAATACTATAATTTTTTTCCTTGAAAAATATTTTTTGTATTTTTTATAAATCAAGAAATTATAAAAAAAATGTTTTTTTAAATAAATAATTTTATAATTTCTTGTGTTAAATAAAAAATTGGTTTCTAATCGTTGATCATAAACGTTGCGTACTTCATTATCGTCAATTTTATAATTGTGTAAAAAAATTTCAGTTTTCATGAGTATAATTACCCCGGTTGATGGTATATAAGAAATAATAAAAAAGCAAATTTATGGCGTAAACTTTTTTGAGCGCTATTTTTAAAGCATAAATAATATACAATGAAATTCGTACCGTGATGAACTCGATGATGTTTGGGTGTATTAAAAACAAATTCAAACGGACCTAAATCTTTAATTACAGTTGTATGAATCCAAAGTTGATAAATCAAATTGAGTTGATGGTGTGTTATAAAATGAGATGGCGGTATAAAGAAAGCAAGAGGCAAATAAAACATCTGAAATGAAAAAAGAAATTATATCAAAAATGTTCACCTTTAAAAATATTTTATTACACATTATTTGCAATATATATATATATATATATATATATATATATATATTTTTAAAATTAATATTGAATAAAATGAAAATGTTTAAAAACCATTTAACACTTTAATCATACATTATTATGTAATTAATTTACATCATTTAAAGAAGAAAATATTGTTGAAACATTATAACTATATATATAAATGTGAGATTTAAAAATTTGATACTCGTTAATATTGCATTACATAAATAAAATGAAAAAATATGAAAATGTGAAAAACAGATCGCATTCCTGAGAGGAGATTGAGAATCGAATGAAACTTGAGTAGCACAATATACTTACAAAGCTGCACCACTGTTGCAAAACAGACTGCCTCAATCCCACCGCAAGATTAAATTCCTCACTGCTGTGATGAACTTGATGTTGAGCCCATAATATGTGTACCTCTGTAAACGGGAGTTTTATGCCTTAATTCGTAAGAGACACTGGATCATGAGTGGATAAGAAATAACCATGGTTTGCCCGATGCACCCAGTAATAACAAAAGTCCACTGCTATTGCTGTTATGTACCATGTCCACGGTGAATCCCAAGCCAGGCTCCATATCCGATACTTCTCATAAATCAAAATATAACTGTAATATTCGATTCCACGAAAGAAAACTCTGCAAAAAAAAAAAAAAAATTAATTTTTATTTACGTTGGAACAGTAATAATTTGCTCTTTTTCCAATTTTGAAGTTTTAAATTTCCCGCTTCTGAAGGTATAGAATGACGAAAGTCCTCTTTCATCTGATGTTTATATGGGGAAAGTCCCGATTTTCAAGGCAGATCACTTGGTTGCGCTTGCATTCGTGTAACATTGCTAGCAATCTAAGTTGTAAATAAATCTACAAAAGTATATACATCTACAATACATTATTGCTGTAAAAATTATTTTAAAATGAAAAATAAAAAAAAATCAAATCGTCATACTCTCTAAATCTGAATTAGTAAAAATGTTTACTAATTTGAATTAGTGACTCACTTTTTGCTTCTGAATTAGTAAAATTTTACTAATCATTAGTTAAATTTTACTAACAATTAGTAAAATTTAACTAATTCTAAAGAAAAAAGTGAGTTACTAATTTAAATTAGTAAACATTTTTACTAATTCAGATTTAGAGAGTACAGCAACTCAGCTTATAATATCGCATACCTTCAAGTAAAAAAGAATTATCATTTATTATCATTTTTTTTGTAATTTTTTTATGATATGCATAATTAAAAATTTTGAATAATGTCGAAAAATAAACTGATAACCCTAAAAAATATTTTCGATGGATTACACTCAAAAAAATAAGTAGTAGATTTGACTACTTTTTAACTACCCTGTATAGTACAGTAGGTCCTCAACTCAATTTTAAAAGTTGTATTAACTACTAAAAAGTAGTTAAAATAACTAAGAATGTAGTTGATATAATAAAATTTTGTAGTTAGTTTTAAATTCGAACTACATTTTTAAGTTAATTGTACTACTAATTTTTAACTTCTTAAGAAATAATGAAATTAACTACACAAACATTGTTAAACTAACTAAGAAAGTAATTGTTTTAACTTCTTTTCACTTAACTACCCAAAGGTAGTTGAAGATTTCGGAAAAATTTTTTTTATTAAGGGGGGAAACCACATTAGAGGATTCAAAAAATGGAAATTTTTTGCATAAATAGTCAGCTTATATATTCAAAAGTTAATTCAAATTTAATACCTTTTTTTTAATCAAAAAAATGCAAAAAAAATACAATACTTTCACTTAAAAGTTAGTTCAACTAATAATAAAATATGTGAATAACTTTCATTTTTTGGTTTTTAGATTAAATTTGTGGACTTTATACCTTGCACAGCAACTATAAACTCAGACGGTGCAGCTCCAGGTTTAATAACTGCTAACTTGGAATGTTTTTAATTAAAATGCTTAAAAAAATTCTGAGACACAGATAAATATATGTGCAACATAATGTCATTCTTGAATTTCATTAAAAAAAATTTATCCCTTTCAAAAAAAAAATCCCGAATAACGGCTAAAAACAGCGTCCTATAAAAGATTTCTTTGATTTAAAGAAACCAATTTCTTTGACTTTTTTTCTTTCATTCAAAATAAAATTTTCTTTTGAAACAAAAAAAAAGTTTCTTAGTTTCAAAGAAAATTTCATTGGTTCAAAGAAATTTTCTTTGAATGAAATAAAATTTGTTCATTAAGTCAAATTGAAATTCTAACATTGATATATAGGGTCAAAGAAACATTTATTTGAATTAAATATAAAAAATTTCTTTGAAACGAAGATAATGTTTTTTTGAATCAAAGATAATTTGTTTGAAACAAATAAATTTTCTTTGTATCAAAGAAAAATTTATCAATGAAATCTTTCTTCTGGGGGTGTAATGTCAGGTTTCCACCCTTAAAATGAGTAATTATTTGGTTTTTTAAAAAAATTTTGTTAACATATGTCACATATTGATTTAAAAAATACTCTTCTGTATGAAAAATTAATTTAAAAAAAAACATCTTGAAAAAAAGATTTAAGAATTACAATTTTTTTAAATCAGTTCAAATTTTATTGGGTGAAATATAATGGATTGACCTTCATTTGATAAAAATATGGAATTTTCCGTGTTATTATGCTGGGTTATGTAAAATGATAAGATATTATTATATAAAAAGATAAAACAAAAAAGAGCGTTGATAATTATATTATAAATAGAAATTTAAATGTTACCTATGCTTACCGTCCAGTCTCTTGAAGAATCCAATGTGATAAAGATGTTACATGGTCATTTAGACGAAAACGTTTTTCCTTATTCGTATACAAAATAATACTTTCCATTGCAATAAGTACAAAGAATGATAACCAAATCTATAATTAAAATAATTGGAGATTGTTAAAAATGACACAAAAACTTGCAGAGGGTCATAAAAAACTGAAATTTTTACAAGGCAAATGATTGTCACCAAATTCTCTTGAACATGATATCATGGGAAATAGTATTAGCCTCTCTGCTTATTCTATATAGCAATCAGAGAATTCTTCGCATAATTTATTCTGTGATATTGTACATGAAAAAGCGAAAGATATATCTAAATGATTTAGTTGGTACAGGAGAGTTTAATCATTGATAAAAGTATTGGACAATTCGTGAAGCCATTTTTAACAATTTATACAAAAAAATTAAATCTGAATATAAAAATTATAATGTAGAGAAGAAGCTTATTTGATCCTATTAAAAAGTATACATTTATACATTTTTTGTAAATTATGTAATGCTGCGGTAGCAATTTTTTTTTTTTTTTTTTTTTGTCAAACTAATCGAACTTTAATTGAGGCAACGGTAAAAATTTTATTACGATGTAAATATGTATACCAATTATATAATTTATTGTCAAACTAAATTATGTTTCTCATTGAAGAGTATAAATATGTTTACTATACTCTGTTTAGTTAAATAGGGTATAGAATAGCAAACATTTTAATTAAGGACACATTAAGCTTATTTCAATATAATAAATTGACGGAAAAAATATTTGAAAAATTGTGTAATTCTTTATTTAAGGTAATTTAATTGCGATTTTATTATTATTATTTTTTTGACAATACTTGATCTTAAATTGAAGATTAAAAATAAAATTTTACAATTGGGTCAATCCATTGTCATATTTCAATATCTATGTTTGAGAAATTTTTCTTTAGAGTAAGTGGCGATTATTATAACCAAATATTTTATGAAATTACAAAAAAAAAATTGCTAAATTTAATAAAAATAAATATATTTATATAAATTTTTAAAAATTTAATTGAAATGTGTTTAAATTTTGATATTTTAACAGTAATAAGTTTAAAAATTAATTTTTACCTAATATTTTGACACATCTTTAAAATTTAAATTCCAAGGTAAATTTTTAAATTTATAAAATAGTATTAAATAATTGTCAAAAATGAATTATAGGTATATCAAAAATGATTAAATGTATTACGAATTATAACATTTTTTTAAAAATGTACCGCAACGATTTTTTTTGTACCCTTTTAAGGGGAGGCACCACCCCCAATTTTGATCCACTTAAATTTAATAAATTATTAAATGAGGTTATATTTTTTTTTCTTACATCATTTAGGTTCTAAAAACATATAAGGTGCCCAAGCAAAAATTCACAACCGGCGCAGTGTTGCGCCAGTACCATTAACTATTAATAATAATAAATTATTATAATAACATTTAAATTGTTATTTTTTTATATTAACATTTTACTCTTTATTTTTTTATTTAAATAATCTCTTCAAATATTATAAAATATATATATATATATTTATTTGTATTTGTTTAAATTACCAAAATTGAATGAAATTATTGGTTAAAGTTTATTTGATTCAAATATATTTTTTCAGTGTAAGAAAAATAATTTGAGAACTTCATTAAAATTATGTATTTTTTTTTATTAAAAAAGTTTTAATATTAAATTTAAATATCATAATTCCGCTAACGAACGCATTGCAGTAATTTAAACTTTTGACCATTTTAGAATTTGTATTTTAAAAAAAAAATAATTTTTTTAATTCCATACGAACTGAGATTGTAAAGAATCATTAAAAAAGTGTGTAAAAAAAAAATATTGATGAAAAATAGTTAAAATTATTAAAAGTAGTTTTTAAATTAAAGTTCTTTCTTTTTTTTTTTTGAATAAAATTTTTTGCAAATCCATATCAGAGATTCTAAAAAAAATCTTATTTAAAAAGCATGTAAAAAAAATGTCGATGAAAAATATTTAAAATTATGAAAATATAGTTTAATTTTGAAAAATTTTATTTTTTTCAAGACTATACTCTAAAATAGTCAAAAATTAAGGTCAATATATTGCCAATCTACAATGTTGGTATTAAAAAAGAAAAAAAAAAAAAAACTCACGGATGTTATTTATGTTTATATTATATAATCCAATGCAATATGTAATATTCAAATTTTCCAAATGTGTGCGTTTACTCATTACAGTTGAAAAGTGACAAAAAAAAACATGAATAAAAAGTAAAAATAAAAAAAAGAAATTTCACCTGCTTATGATAATCTGGAACATCTTCTACAAACTGAAATGTAGTATCATAAGGGTTAACAATGTACCACAATTTCCCGGCATGTTTGAGCCAACTCATGTAAGCATACACTTCGCGGGTTTCATTCATGACTGACTACTATACACTACGTATTATGTGCTCGTACGTTTTGAACTCGACAATACAATATAAGCATGGTGGGAGAGAGTACTTGATAAAAAAAAAATCATATACAATTTTAGCCGAGATGTAAATTATTTTTACAAATATTTATTTTTTATGTAAATGATTTTGTTTCTAAATATAAATTTTGGGCATTATATATATATATTTATTTAATATTTATTATTGCAAAATTTATACTGTTTTTTATGTACCGTAGTACAATATTAGTAGATTCCAATGAAAGGCTATAAATATCTTTGACATATACGTCACAAGCCAAAAGATAAAAATAACATTAAACTGAAAACCTATACTGCTAAAATGTAACACGTCTTGCGGAAGACAAAGTTCGAATTTGATGTAAAATTTATTCTTGTAGAGGGGGAAAAAAATTGAAAACATATATTTTTTATGAGAACAATAATTCGTTTTCAGTGGCCGAAGTTGAAAAATGAAACGTTCTCAAATTTTCACAAAATTCTGAAAATATTTTTAAAAAATTGTTTTCCCACTGTATAGGTTTAAAATTTTTATAAAAGGAAGTTGTTTTTTTTTGAAAATTTTTTTTTTAAACAAATCGAAGGATACAAACAGTTTTATAAATACAAGATTTTTATATACCTTTTGTAATTACAAAAAATATAGTAAATTTTAATTTTATAATTTTTTGCATAAATTTTTTGAAAAATTCAATTAAAAACACATTATTAAAAAAAAAAACCTTTAAAATTTAAAACATTAAAAAAATAACAAATTAAAATTTTGAAATTTTTGAAAAACTCATATCTCGTAAACGGCTTGATGAAAAAAAAACCAAATTCAAACATGGTTGAAACTGAAAATAATTTTTTTCTCCGAAATGTTGTTTTTCAAGATTTTTTTTATCGACAAAACATGAGAAATTTTTCTTTAAAAACAAAATAAAAAAAATATTTTTTTTCTCCTAATTAATAGTATATTGGGCACAAGTTAAATTCTTAAAAAAATTGAAACAAAAAATAATATGCGATTTTTGAGTAATTTGAATCCAAAAATTCTTATTTTTTTTCTTAATTTTCAGATAAATGATGATTTAGACTTGGAAAATTAAATTCGTTATTTAAATTAGTAAAAAAAATAAAAATTTTCAACCAAACAAAAAAAGAATTTTTCAAATTTTGCGATAATTGTCCGATTTGCGGGGAATTAAGCTTCTAAATTGTTTTCCGAAGTGAAGAATTTTTAAAAAAGTGAAAATTTTAATTAATTAATAACTTTTAAAAAATCAATAGGTCGTATAAAAAATTTGACTTCAGAATTTTAAAATATATTAAATATTTGTTTTGCAATTGTTTAGGTTACCATTATTTTATTTTACTATATATATATATATATAATTAATTATAATTAAAAAAGTTGTACTCATTTATTAATAAATATTTGGCTATTATATTAAGTATTATTATTTTTTCACTATTATATAGCAAAATTTTATTCCTCTAAAAAATAAGATTTTCTATTTTTTAAAAATTAATTTGCACATTATTGTGGAAAAAAATAATTTTATAATTTCAATTGGAAATATTATTATTAATATTATTATAATTTTTTTATAATGTATTGTTTACAAATTATAAATTATATACACAGAATTAATTAATTACATTTAAAATTGGCGCGTAGAAATTTTATTTTTCGTATGCGTCGGCAAAGCAGAAAGTGATATATTTTGAGGTTAGGTTGGGAATTTCTCAAAACAATAAGCACGTGGGTGACAAATATCAAAAATATTAAAAGAGTAATAAACTAAATACGTAAGTAAACTATAAAATTCTTTCAAAATATAGATTTGTTTCTATTTGAAGTAAAATTAATTCAATATACATTAGTTTTTTGTGATTTTTAATGTAAAAAAAATGGTCAAAAATTTACATATTCCATTAAATTTAAGGTTAGTTCTGTACCTATATTTTATTAAATAGAAATTTTATTTAAATTATATATATGTTTGCCTTTATTTATTCAGTTATTTTACATAAATTTTTAATTTCGATTATTTAATTTTTGTTTTCAGAGATTTGGCTAATCACCAAATTATTGATATTATTGAAAAAATTGTCATGATAAAATCGGTAATATATTTTTAGTCTATTTAAATTAGACTTATATATTTGAATAAATCATCGACACTAAACGCAATTTATTAAAAAAAAAAAATTTAATTAAAAAAGAAATCAACCTACATAATGAAATCCATACCAAGGACTCGCGAAGGTAATTTTTAAAAATATTATCTCAATTTTTTATTTTCGAAATATATATTATTTACTTTTCTTTTTTTTTAACCATTAAATTAATTTATAAGATAATAAATAATAAATTACAGTAAAAATTGAATTAGTAAATTAAATGGCAAATTATTTGTAGATGAATCGGATAATGATTCAAGTGGAGAAAGTGATTTGGATGCTGAAGAACATATGAAATCTTTGATGAAATTAAAAGACACTGATCCAGAATTTTATTCATTTTTAAAACAAAACGATACAAAACTTCTTGATTTTAATGTATCCGATGATGATAATAATAATGATGATGGAAATTCATCCGATGACGAAGATAATTCAAGACATGTTCCACAATCCAAATTGGAAATTGCCAGTGATGAAAGTGATTATGAAAATGAAGACGATGAAAATTCTTCTGGTAGTCGAATTAAAGTTACATTAAAATTAATCACAACATGGCAGGAAGCACTAAAAAATGACAAGTATAATTATTATATATTTTTTTAAAAAATAATGTTTTCAGCATATTTTTTTTAATATTTTATAGCTATTAAAATTGATTTGTCATCTTTTTTTTTTACTAGATCTGCCAAAACGATAAAAACTGTAGTTGCAGTTTTTCACGCAGCTACTGAAACACTTTCGGGAAAAGCAGAAGATGAAAATAATGAAGAACCTTCGAGATACAAAGTTGATGGAAGTGCAGGTAATTCAACAAATTTTTAATGACAAAAAATATAATGAAATTTTGATTTTTTTTTTTTTTTTATTAAGGCAGGCCTCGGATTACACGACTTTTTCCGACTTTTTTCGACTTATTTTAATAAAATGCGACTTTTTCGACTTTTTTTTATATTTTTAAAAAAAATTTTAAACAAAATACGTTTTTTTTAAGGATATAATGCAGATCTTCTTTATTTCAATTGATTTTAACAAATTTTTAACTACAATTCTTCACTAAATTAATTATTTTTAATAATTTTAATGAAATTCTTCAAAAATTCAATTATATTAAACTATTTTTCAATTAAAATTTTTTATGAAATTTAATATAATTGTTTATAATTTTCAAAAAGTTAGCAAATAAAATTACCAAAAATTTTTAATTCAAAATTACTTGAAATTTAATTATTTTCAAAAATGTCAATTATTTTTAATAATTTTTATAATAGTCTTCGAATATTCAATTATCTGAAAGCATTTTTTAATTAAAAACTTGGAATTCAATTTTTTTTTTTTATGTGATTTCTAATAAATTCTTCACCAACACAAATCACTAAAAATTTCTCTTATTATAATATTATTGTCTAAAATTTAAAACAATACATTTTGAAAATCAATTGTTTTCAAAAATTTCAATTAAAAAGCTTCTAAAATTTTCCAATTACAATTTTTAAAAATTTAATAATTTCAATTAAATCACTCTCTTGGAATTCAATTATTTTTAATGATTTTTATAATATTCTTCGAAAATTCAACTATCAGAAACTGCAATTACTTTTAAAAAATGTTATCTAAAATTATTTGATAAATTATTTTTAGTTCTGCAAAAATTTAATTATTGTCTGAAAATTAACAAAATCTTTTGAAATTCAATTACTTCTAAAAAATTTTAACTTTAACTCTTCCAAAATTATTATCTATTTAAAAAAAAAAAATTTCATTTAAAAATCTGTATAACTTGATTAAGTATTGCCTGAAATTTTTTTTTACCATGAAAACTAAAAACTATGACAAAATTTTTAATTTGAATAAATTTCTTAAATCAGACTTTAAAAAATTATAAAAATGGAACTTTTAAGAATTTTGTTAAAAATTTGTTAATAAAATTTTGAAAATTTGTCTTACAATTAATTCGATTCTGAAATATTTGAAATAAATTTTCTTGATAATTAAATTTTGTTAAAATAAAGAAATTCGACTTCTTCGACTATTTTTGGAGAAAATATTTAAAGAAAATTATGAGCAGTTAAAAAAATGTTTTATTATATATATATATATATATATATAAATAAAATAAATAACAGTAAACAATAAAAAAAAATGTGTGTTTATAAAAAATTGAGTATATTATTATTTTCTTTTACTTCAAAAAAATTTCAGTATTCAATGGAGTTGTACAAATGTGTATAATGCATTTACCTGATGCATTGAAATCATTTTTGGGCCTTGGAACACAAACGCGATTTGAAGCTCATAAAGCAAAAAAGTTTGGCAAAGTTAAAGGAACACTAAAGTCTTATCTGACAGACTTGTTAAAGGTATAAATTATTACATATAAAATTCTGTCATTTTATTTATATTTTATTATTTCATGAATTATATATATATATATATATATATATAAAAAAGGAAAAAAAATTTCAATTAATATTATCATTATATTTTACAGCTTTTACGATGTGTATCGTCATCGAACATTATCACAGTACTTTTGAAACATCTTCATCAAATGTTGCCTTACACTCAATGTTATTCTTCACTTCGTAAGCCACTTTTAAAAATTTTACTCAAATTCTGGTCATCTGGAGAAGAAACAGTTCGAGTAGTTGCTTTTCTTTGTATTATACAAATGGCAACTAGTCAAAAGGAATCAATTCTCGAAATTCTCGTTAAGGTAATTATTATTCAAAATAGTAAATAATTTTTCGAGAAAAATTTTTTTAAAATAATTTTCCAAAAAATAATAAATTTTTTTGAAAAGGTTTAAAATTTATCTTTATTTTTTTTTCAGACAATGTACATTAAATATGTTCAAAATGCAAATTTTGTTTCTCCGTCACTTTTACCTGGAATTAATTTCATGAGACATTCATTGGCAGAAATTTATTTACTCGATTGTAATTTCTCCTACAATCATGCTTTTCTATTTGTTCGTCAATTGGCAATTAATTTGCGTAATGCTGTGACTTTAAAGAAAAAGGTAAGACGAAAAAAAAAGAGGAATACAATTTGAAAATTTGACAAATTTTCATTTGGAATATTTTTATTTTTTATAGGAAAACTTCCAAGCCGTTTACAATTGGCAATTTATAAATTCATTGAAATTTTGGACAGAACTTATTCCACTTTCCAAACCGCAATCTATGATGAGGCAACTTCTCTATCCTCTTGTACAAGTAAGCAAAAAAAAAAATTTAATAAATTTATTTATTCAAAAAAATATTTCAAAAAAATTTTAATTTATTTAAAGTTTCTTTTAAATTAAATTTTAATCATATTTTAATAATTTTTTGTGAAATTTGTTTCATTTGAAAAAATAAAATAATGATATATTTATCAAAAAAAAAAAAAAAAAAATATCAATAAATAGATTGTATAAAAAAATTCTTTTTTTTATTGCAAATAATTATTTTATTTTATTATTTACGAGCAAATAAAATTTAATTCATATTTCTTGTAAATTACAGATTATTATTGGGACAATAAAAATGATTCCAACTTCTCAATATTATCCATTGCGATTTCATTGTTTAAGAATGCTTATTAGTATTGCAAAAGAGTCGGGAACTTTTATACCTGTTTTGCCGTTTTTGACAGAGGTAAAAAAAAAAAGAAAATTCGAAATTATTTTTAAAAAAAAATTTTGAAAAACATTTTTTTAAAGAATTTCTTTTTTCTAGATATTGAATAATTATACTTTCAATAAAAAACACAAAGTGGCAGCAATGAAACCAATGTCTTTAATTTGCTTGCTGAGAGTTTCAAAAAGTCAACAACAGGAAAATACTTTTAAAGACAGTATTCTGGAAACAATTTACGAACTCATATTAGAAAATGCTGCCAATGAAAGTCATAAAGTTTACTTTCCAGATTCTTACATTCCTTGTGTCATCGAGGTAAGACTAATTGAATTAAAAATATTTCCTTTTTCATATCGGTAAATTCTATTAGAGAAAAAACAAATTTTTCAAAAATCATTACATTAAAAAATAAATAAATTCGAATTTATTTTTTTTTTAATTTCTGATTTCTTTTCTTTTTAGTTGAAGGCGTTTTTAAAGAAAAGTAACGTCGCAAATTATTCGCGAAAAATAAAGCAATTGTTGGATAAAATTGAAGAAAATCGAAAATTCATTGAAAAGGAACGCAGTAAATTGACATTTGACTTAAAGAATGTCAAAGAGATTCAAAATTGGGAGATAAGATTGAAAAATGAAGGGACACCATTGGCCAAATTTTACACTTCGTGGTATAAAATTTATGAAACACAAAAATTGAAACTTCTTACACAAAATGATGAAATTGCCGATAATAAATTACCCAGCATTAAAAAAGGTAAAGGAAAGAAAAGAATTGCAAATAATGATGATGAAGATAATAGTGATCTTGATATGCCTGTTGAAGAATATGAAAGGAGAGAGCAAAAGAAGAAGATGAAGATGAAGGAGAAAAAAGCAATGAAATTAAAGAAGGCAAAGTATGTTAATGAAAATGATGAACTTCCAAAGGATAATACGGATATTGTTAGAGATTTGAAAATAGACGATTGGGATTAAGAAAGAAAAAAAAAGGAAATTGAATAAAAGTGATATTCAAAAAAAAATTGAAATGTATTTAAATCAAAAAAATCCATTCTTTTTACAGAGATTAATAAAATCATTGATAGAGTGAAAATTAGATTTAAACAGAATTAACAGTATTTTTAAAATGAAGAAAATTGTAAAATAATGTCACGTTCATTTCAAAATTAATTGAGGAAAAATTATTAATTTTTCATGAACAGATAATTAATTTACAAAAATAATAAAAAAATAAAATTTTAGAATTTTTTTATTTGCAAATGAAAAAGAATTTTAAATTGACCTAAGTTTCATTTAACAGAATTTTTTGTGATGAAATTTTTATTTTAAGGCGATTCAACCTCTTGACATAACCTCAAACTAAAAATTTGTCTCCAAATAAAACTGTAAAATTAAAATTAATTTTATTAAATTTTGAAAGATCTATAGTTGTACAATTTTCAAAAAGGAATATTTATTTTGACCTTTAAAATTTCTTGTCAACTAATAATTGTTTATTTAACATTTTGTGTTTTTTTGTTTAAAAATAGTAAAAATTCGGACAAATAAAAAATTTATCAAATGACAATTTAATTCAATGGAAAATATTTAAAATCAAAATAAAGTTATAATGAAAATTTAGGACATTAAAAATTCAATAAAAAATGAAAATTTATTTTTATAATACAGAATCTGGAAATTAGGAAAAAGGTGTGGAATTTTTTAATGTTTCTGAAAATCATAAAAAAAAGCCTCGAATGTTTTAAGATTTAAAAAAAAAAATTTTTTAGGTTGAAACAAATAAAAAAAAAAATTTCTGAAAACTTTCGAAATATGAAAAAAATGATTCGAAAACGAAAAAGTTATCGTGTTAATTTTATAATTAGTATATTTAAAAAAATGTCCCCTTTTCAATGGCTTTTTCTCAATTTGTTAATTTATACATAAATAATTAGTATATTGAGAAAAATGCCGTCGTAACTTTACTACGTCCAACGTGACTCGAAAAATGGACCACGTCAGACGTTGTTAAGTTACCAACGGTTTGTAAAAAAACGGTATGTTTTGTAGAGTTACCAAAGTTTCGTAAAATTGCAAAGAGAAAAATATGAGAATGCGATTTTCAAATAAGAGGTTAGATTTTTTTTTTATATTCTTAATAATAAAACTCAAATGTTAAAGAAATAATTTTTTATTAAAAGTATAATTTTTAATTATAATTAAAAAGCAACGAATATATATTAATTTAAAAAAGGGAATTATCTTCACTGCACAGTATCTTATGATCACAATCACAAAGATGACTTTATTTTTTTGTCATGAATTTTACTGGACTCGAACAGAGCTTTATAAATTCTTGTATAAACACGTATTCATACAAGTCTTCTTGTTTATTTACTAAAGATTAGCTTATTTACAATGAGTTTGCATTTTTACAAACGATTATGTCAATTTACGATCGTTTGTAAATTTACAACCTCCAACATGACTCGAAAAATGGACAACGACTAACATTGTAAAGCTATACAAAACGGTCAGTTTCTATTCAAAGTATTGCAACTTTACAATGTCAGACGTCGCTGTATTCCTAACCTCTGATTTTCTTACTATGTCTAACGTTGTTACTTTACCAAAAAAATTATTTGTAACTTTACAAACATGAGTTAGAAAAAGACAGAGATATATTCGTATCCTTTTCTATCTCATGCATCTCGTTCGCGAACGTCTTTCGCAAAGCTATTCTGCTTAGGCCTTATACGTCTTTAATTTTTTTTTCTGCATACAAAATTTATCTACAACATGATTGGTCACTTCCAGTAGAAAAACTAGTTTTCCATTAGAACCGACCAATCAAAATTTGCGTAGATTTTTTATGTAAAAGCACCATGTAAAGCGAATGATTTGTATATACCGTGGATGTACCAGTTACTGTCCATGTCCCAGTTTCTGTCCATTTTACAAATATCTCGTATAGTAATTTAAATTATTTTTTAACAATAATTTATTCCTTTTGTCACACAATCGACTTATTAGTTTAAGTAAACAAATAAAAGAAAATAATTTTTTTATAAATGTTATTTTGAAAATTAAACTGGACGGAAACTAGGTCTTAGGTGGACAGTAACTGGGACATCCACGGTACACTGTAAAAAAAATTTTGTGTCGATTTACACGCCGAATGTAAAATAACTTATTCAACAATGTTAATTTATTATGCTTTGTAAATTTATAACGTTAAACATTTTAATTTTACACTGCTGAACGTTGTGAATTCACACGGTTGTGTAATTTTACAATGTTGGACATTGGAAAGTATGGCCACATATTATGGCCATTAATTTATATTTATTAATTTATAACGTTAAACATTTTAATTTTACACTGCTGAACGTTGTGAATTCACACGGTTGTGTAATTTTACAATGTTGGACATTGGAAAGTATGGCCACATATTATGGCCATACTTTCCAATGTCCAACATTGTAAAATTACACAACCGTGTGAATTCACAACGTTCAGCAGTGTAAAATTAAAATGTTTAACGTTATAAATTTACAAAGCATAATAAATTAACATTGTTGAATAAGTTATTTTACATTCGGCGTGTAAATCGACACAAAATTTTTTTTACAGTGTAGATTATGTTTATTATGAAAGTTTCATCTTTTTAATTAAAAGTTCCTTTTTATTTATGTAAATTAAAATAAAGTTTTATTCAATATTTTAGATATAATGAAAACTTAAACATCAATGATTTGTATATTGAGAGTTGATTCTCTTTTTGTATATATATTTTCATTTAAAAATTTCAAAACATAACCTATAAAATTTTTCTACTCATGTCCCTTTCTTCAAAGTCCGTCACATATTAATTAAATTTCAAAATAAACCCAAGAAAAGTAAAAAGAAATAATAATCATTACCGGGAGAGTTTCTTACAATTTTTTTTTTTTTAAATGTAAATATCCGATAACAAAAATATAGCTAACATTAACCTATTAGATTTTTAATTTTTCTGAAATTTTACTTTGAAAACCTAAAATAACATATTTTTGTTCTATAATTTTTTGCCTAAAAAATATTTTTTTATAATTTCTTGATTTAAATTTTATTACATTTTCTTATCAATTAAATTTTTGCTAAAAAAAATCACAAAATTTCGATAATTTGAAAACTATCTCTCTCTATTTTTTTATTACGTTACATTTTTAATTTTTTTTTTCAAATATATTTTTCTTCTCAATGAAAGATGTTTGAAGTTCAATTTCGAAATAAATTCATTCGAATATATTTATCTTCATTTCCTGGTCCAATCGGAACATGAAACCAAGTTGTATAGGTGGGGAAAGAAAGAAAATTTGCTTTTTTTTTTTTTTTTTGTTTTTTTTTCTCTTGGTCGATCTAAAAGCCACCCATGAAAGACTGACGACCGATTCTATAAGGTGTCGCTTTCTGGTGATCTATTTTTACCGTGAACGGATCAAGCAGTCGAGAAGTTGTAAGCGTCGCTTAGGCATATGAATACAAAGCTCAATCCGGTATTGTAATTTATCATAAATTTCAAGTGAAAAAATCGGTTTTGCGAAAAAAAAAAAAAAAAAAATTACGTGCAAAATATAGAATATTTATAATTTCTTTTTCTTTCCATCTTTCTTAAACGTGTAATTAAGGAAACACTGAAGTAAAGAAGTTCTTCATCATTATTTGGTTTGTTTGTTTTTTTTATTTCGAAAAACTTGACTTCCACTGAAACTGTTGACATTTTACGTTCATTCGCATATGCAACGTTTGTATGTATATCATATTATTTTAACAAAAATAATAATTTTTGTAATCGAACTGTGAAAAATTCAATAATTATTTACAGTTCACAATATAAGTGATACTTTAATTAGTTAATTATAATTAATGCGTTAGAACAAAAAAAAAAAAAAAAAATGAAAATTAAAATTAAAAAACTAACCTAAATTACATTTTATTCTAAATATAAAAAATTTAACAAATATGAGTCAATTTATATTTTTTTAAAGAAGAAATTCAAGAAGGAAAAAGAATAAAATGCTGATGATCGAATGTGAAAATATATTTTCAAACCATATTTTTATATTTATAATAGTACCGGCTTTTTTTTTTTTTTTTTTATATTTTTTGTTTTTCATTGAAGGTTATATTTTGATGATCGAGAGTCAATTTTCAGCAAAGTACCGGCTGGGCAAACTTATCTATCTATATATCTCTCCTCACGCTAATGTGAGGTGTAAGAATATATTTTGCAAGATGTAAATCGCGGTTGGGAAGAAGAAGAGGTTTATGTTTTTGCTCGTGGCGAGTGAGTCGAGTGCGCGTACAAAAGCTTGTTGCTGAACTTTGACGATTCATTTTGACGGAGTTACGTAAATCTGTTTTTAACGAAAAAAAAAGAGAGGGGAAAAAAAAATAAATAAAAGTCCCCATAGAATAGAACATAATATAGATAGTACAACCCTCGTGTCATCAGAGACAACTTCCACGATGAGGAAGACGTCGTTTGATAAGTAAACTCTCTTTTACTTATGCTTTTTCATTTTTATATAGTAACAAAACGCGCAATCAAACGCAACCTTCACATTATTTTATGAGGCTTTTTATTTATATCACTTCGTTGCGCTGACGATGAGAAATTTTCTCTCTGAATATCAGAAATTCAAGTTCGTAACAAAAATGACTGCGTGCTTTTTGCGACGTTTCAAAAATGCAGTATCATTCACCTGTGTTATAAAATAATACTTATGTATTATTATTGAAAAAATTATTTTATTTTATTTTTTGCTTTTTAAACTCTTCTCGAGTGTTTTCATTTGTTTTTTTTTTTTTTTTAATCAACTGTAACAAGCACAAAATAAGCTTTTTTTTAATTGAGACATAATATTTATTTTATTTGTTTTTATATTTACGTAGTATTTTATTTAATAATTTTCTTCATTATTATTATTATTTTATATACAAGGAAGAGGTAAAAAAATGCTTTGATAGACGGACGGTCTGTTTATATTATTATTATTATTATTATTATTATTATTATTATTATTATTATGAAAAATATTTTATTATTATCATTATTATTATTAAAAACATTTTTTAAATAATGAAAAATATTATTGTTATTATTTACTATTATTATTATTATTTTTTTTTTTATTATAATTAAAACTTTATTTTTTGTAATTACAAAATATTTTTTTATTTTATTCTTTACATACAAATCATTCACTATTTTAAAAAAATGTTATATTAGTAAAAGTTGAATAATTTTCATTTTTCTAGGTGCCAACATTAGCCAAGTTAAAAAATAACTTTGAATTTGATTTTTTTTTTTACTTATTTTTTTAATAATTTATTCGTACATTTAAATAAATAAATGAAAAATCATAAAAAATTTTTTTAATTAATTTTCAATAATTTTATGAAACATTAAGTTTTCTATTTTTTTGTAACGTTTAAATTAATTTTTAGTAATTTTTCATTTTTATTTGAATAATTTGTAAATTAATTAATTTTTATTTTCGAAAGTGAAGAAGAATTGAAAACACATTTACAAACAAAAAATTTTAATTCGATGATTGATAAAAAATAGTCTAATTAATGTAATTAGTTAATTAAAAAATTAGTATTTATATTCAAATTTAACTAACTTTATTAATATCACAATAAAGTAAATAAATAATTAAATTAGCTAATAATAATGATAATAATAATAATAACATGAAATTATTGTTGAAAATTTTGAAATTTTTAAAATATTAAAAATATTAAAAATATAAAAAAAATTAAGAATGAAAAATTCTAAATTTAATATGAATCGTGATTGATTTCTTTATACTATAAATTAAAATAGGGTTTTTTTAGATGTTGATTCAGTGTTGAGAATATTGATTGTAAACTAAATTTTGAAAGATTTTTTTTTCAGTAGAGGTATATTTTTAGCTAGAGATCAAAATTTTATATCTGAGAAATTAATTTACTAATTTTTTTTTTCATTTTTACATATTGAAATTTTTTTTTCGAATTTTGAGAATAAATGTTAAATACGCATTTGACGCGCTACTTTTTTAGATAAATGAGCTGTTATTTTGAAGTAGAGGTCGCAGCTGTTGAATGACAAGGACTCGTAAAATTAAATATTCTATTGTTTACTGCAAATTCTATATTAAATTGAAATTTTTTAATTGAGAAAATTAATTAAAATTAATTCAATAAAATTGAATTTAATTATTTGAATTTAATTAAAATAGATTTACATTGAATTTAAAAATTTTTTAACATGAAGTTACATTTTTCTCTAAAAATTGACTTATTTTAAAAATAGTGTTTTCGTGAAAATGATTTTAATTTATTCTTTAGGGTGGGATAATATTTTTTCATATTACCCAATGTTTCTTTTAATAGTAATATAATTTTATAATAATAATAATAATAATAATAATAATAATAATAATAATAATAATAATAATAATAATAATAATAATAATAAATAATAAAAAAAATTATTTTTTTAAAATCTTTTTAGTCAGCAGCTGCTTTCAATTAAATTTGACGCCACAGTCGTAATTAATACAAGACAGAAAAAAATTATTTTTGGAAAGACGAAGTTTGTCTAAAATTAATTCTTTTTTTTTTATCGAAGCCGCACTTTATCGAATTTATATATAAATATTAAATTGTGAATACTTCATTAATCAATATTTATTTTTAAATATTATACTAATTTTTTATAAATATTTTAATGTTATTTTTAATAGTCTTTGTACAAAATAGATTTGGTTTTTGCCTATTTATTTCTTTTATTTTATATGTATAACAATAACAGTAATATAATAACTTTTTGATAATAATAATAATATAATAATAATAAATGAAATAATGTAATATTAATATTACCTATAGTTGCTTTGAAAAAAAATTATATTATTTTTTTTTATTGCTAAAAGAGTTAAAAAAGTAACATATTCTATAAATTTTCACTAATTTAAAAAAAAATCTATTTGGTTTAGTAATATTTTTTTTTACTAAAGTTTTAGTGATAAATGACAAAAAATTAGAAACTAATTCAAATTTAGAGTATATGCAAATTAATAAAATGTAATCTAAATTTTGATAAAAATCAGCAATAAATTAGATCTGATTAAAGAGAGTGCATATATATATATATATATATGAGATATGTAGAAAGAAATTTTATAAAAAGAATTGGAATTTCATGCAAGGATTTGCAATATTCTGATCTCGATTCTCATCAAGCGTGACTGTGGTCCGTTGAAACCGACTGCGGGTTGCTACTATACGTATTACGTTACAACAGATAAATTTAGCGATTCTTTTACATAGAACTTGGTTGTACCGATGCCAATACCGCAACACGGAATTAATTGTCCTCTTGAATAGCAATACCAATGCACAATCTTTCAGTAATTTAAAAGTGCATCTTAATATGCATCTTTTTTTCACACCTTCAAATCCCATTTACTTATTCATTCCTCAATTAACATGCGCTATTCAATTCATATTGTATATAGGTATATTAGGATATATTCTACTATATATTTATATTCCCAAGCAAAAATTTCTGTCATACGCCGACAGTTGGCTTACCAGTATTGGTTCAGTACTGATATGGATTAAATTCTGTACTGTGCCAATGCTGCAAGCCAATACCGGCATGCCAGTATTATTGAGACAGTAATGGCAAACCAGTATTCGGTCAGTATTAATTCAATACCGAATGCCAGTATCCAGAAAAATTATCAAAATTTACCTCCATGAAGTTGAGGTTGACGCTCAGCGCCGAAAATTATTTTTCACAGGACCAAAAATGTCAAATTATTTTTTTTAAAAAGATTTTCGGTCCAATATGTAATGCCTTAAGAAATACTTTTTAAGGTATTATGCGTGAACCCAAAACTTTTTTAAAAATCATTTGTTATTTTTGGTCCCGTGAAAAATAATTTTCGACGTTGAGCGTCGACGCCAACTTCATAGACGTGAAAATTGTGTATTTTTGTTGGTTAGAAATTAAATTTACATACATATTTTTTTAAATTATTTTAATACTTCTTTTCGATTAGTGTCAACCGGGGTAAATCCGAACGCTTTTAGTAAGTTTCAACAATAACATAAGTTTTTTCTTCAAAAAAAAAAATACTTCCGGTATTCTGGTGCATGAAGTTGTTACTTTACTTCCATAGAACAATTTTATGGGGTAGCAAAATTTTTTGATAAATTACAATCGCAGGAAACTTAGCGTTCGTATTTACTTCGATACTTTGCAACTTTCCTAAAATACCGGGGTAAATACAAACGCCACTGTATTTCAGAAAAATCTTAGGGAAAATAAATTTAAAGTATTGCAATTGTTAAACTTATATAAAAACTCAAAAAAAAATACGATAATAAACCTATTATGTAATAATGCATCATATATAAATACAAAAATCAAACAGGTTAAAAATTAAAATGCATTACACAATTAAAACCTTCAATAACTTTATCAAATCATAACGGATTTTTGCAAAACTTGGTACAGAAAGTATTTTGGAGTGATTGAATGTAAATACAAAAATAAAAGTCAAATTTTTTAAATTCAAAATGTCGGACTTTCCTAAAACTTATTTTTAAAAATGATCAAATTTGCTAACTCCAAATTCGTAATCAGCGACCCTGAAACCCCCTGAGTAATAATTTTCGAGCGAATCCAATGAATTTTTTAATTCTCGTCCGCCATTTTGAATTTTGAAAAACTGACTTCAAATTGGTAATTAGCGACCCCAAAAACCGTAGAATACCAAATTTTATTAAGATCCTGAAAAACTTTTTTCAACAAACCATTTGGCAAAAAAATTGAAACACTCCTTCGAGAGAACAGAGATTAAGTTTCTGCTTATTAATTACTAACGAGGATACGTATAGAAAGAAAAACTTTTTTCTATGTACTTTTATAATGTTAAAATAATAGTGTAATCAAATAAAAACAATTTTGTGTGGCTCTGATGTAAAAAAAAATTATTGAAAATACCGTTCGGATTTACCCCGGTTTTCTAATTTTCCTGGGTAAATACGAACGGTCTGATATTATTAATAAAATTTTACAGAAGGCAAAAATCAAAAATAGTTTCTGTTCTAGTATTCATAACAAACAATTATAAATAATAAAATGAATTTTTAGCTTCTTTTTCTTCAAATACGAGACAAAATACTGAAAGAGTGTCATCTTTGATTTTCAATCTTTTTCGCAATACTCGTTATCTTTGTTTATGCTGTTGCTAATTAACAAACGAAATATAGGATAATACTTAGAATCTCTTGAAGAGGATCTGAGGTAAAAATTCTCATATCGAACTTATTTTTAAAAATTTTAATTAAGCTGAAATAATTAGCGTTCATATTTACCCCCTGTTCGGATTTACCCCGGCTGACCCTACTGCAATGCATTTGTTAACGGAATTATGAAATTTAAATTTAATATTGAAACTTTTTAATAAAAAAAATACATAATTAATGAAGTTCTACAATTATTTTTCTTACACTGAAAAAATAAATTTTGAATCAAATAAACTCTATTTTAACCAATAATTTCATTCAATTACGGTAATTTAAAGAAATACAAATAAATATATATATTTTATAATATTTGAAGAAATTATTTGAATAATATAAAATAAAGAGTATCACAGGAAAAAAAAGTCTTACTCCGAGCATAGTCTAATTTTTAATTTTGATTAGAAAGTAGTTGATAACTAATATCAATCACAAATAATGGTTTAAAAATAAGCCGTTAAGGTCTTAATGAAAAACAAGATATTAATATGACAAATATTTAATTTTATTAGATTCAAATCAAGCCTTTGTGTTCTTGGACTCAATACAAAATTTTATTCGCTAGAATAAACCTCCATGAAATTGGCGTCGACGCTCAAAGTTGAAAATTATTTTTCATGGGACCAAAAATATCAAAACATTTTTTAAAAAGATTTAGGGTTCACACAATGTGTTAAGAAGTATTTTTCAAGGTATTATTTGGAGTACAAAATTTAAAAAAAGTAGTAATTTCTAAGCATATTAACCATAAATTTTCTTGAAAAATACATTTTTATTTAATAGAATTCATTATTTTTGACTGAATTGTTTGACTATACCTTTTGTCTGAATTGTTATTTAATAGAATTTCTGTGTTCTTTTCAACTTTGTTTTAAATAATCTCGAAAAGTTAAAGAAATAATCGAAATTTTTTTTAATATTCTATTTCAGAAGGGTTCAAATATTATAGAAAAAATTTCACATGTAGATAAGATTTTTATTTTCTATACTATGGGCTTTTAAAGTAGACAGTTGTAAAAATGATGCAAAAAACCATGTATTTTTTGTCTTCTAAAATCGATAACTTACGCAAAAAATTTTTCAGATTTTCGCAATTTCGTATAGTAACGTAGGCATTGTGTACCTATTGATTTCATGTTGTCGCAATGTAAGGCGATTTTTTCTACCTGAGTTATAAGCTTTCAAAGAGAGGAGCCTATTACTTTTGGCCCGATAGTAGAAAATCTATTAGAGATCACAGACAGTGTCAGTTCTCCTGTAAACAGCGTAAATTCGAGCAAGTGGCCACTGAATGAACTACGATTAAATATACATTATTTTACTATTTATTGCTTTGTTTTTATTATTTTTGCGTTAAGTTATAGTAAATGAGAAGAATAGCGTGATTTCTTGTACCAAACTAAATCCTTTTTTTTCAAAATTTTAACCCGAAATCATTTTTTATTTCAGAAAAAGATTCAAACCACAAAAAAACGTTCTTCGCCCACATACCCTTAACTAAATTTTTTTATTATTTTAAACACCACTTTAATAGACTATACGCTGAAAAAAAATTATTTAATTAAAATAATCAGTTATTTGACTATTATCAAATAATTATTTACTAGAACCAAGTAATTTTTATTTGAATAAATAATAAAATAAACTGTATTTGAACCAATAGTTTCTGTATTTGAAACAAATACCATTTAATTGATTCAAATAATAATCATTTGATACAAATAAATATTTATTTGATAATAGTCAAGTAACCACACCCCTAAACAACATTAATTTTATTAGGTTGAAATTTCACCGGTTCCTCTCCTTAAAAAGAATAAGCTTTTACAATAAATGCCCCGTGTTGGGGAATGTCGTAACAGTTATAATTAAGGCAATATGTATACATAATAAACATAAAAATTTTTAAAATCCAAAATTTTTCCAAAAATTCAAAATGTTATCGTATGTATATTTATTTTTTGTTCTGTTTTCAGTAGAAAAACAATTTTTTAGAAATTCATGCAATAAAATATTTATAACAATAACTATAGTATAAATTTTCATATTTTGCAAAACTGTTAAATTGTATTTTTTATTTATCGTTCGGAACTGAAAAACGTGTATTTAAAAAAAAATGTAAATCTTAAAAAAAATGTTGCCACACTTCACAAATTTTGACTTAATTTTGTTTTTGTTAAAACCAAATAACCGTATTAGGCCTTATTATTTTATTATATACATATTTTTAAAATATTAAAATTTTTTTTTTAACATTAGTAAAGCTCAAAAATAATGATAAATTAAAAATAATAATAGTACCACCCGCATCGAGGGAGGAATTTATAATTTAATACATTTTCATCCTAGATTGAAAAAATATAAAGTTTACTTTAAATAAAAATTTGTTTAAAAAATTATTTTTCCCATTTATGAAAATTCGATTTAATTAAAAATATATTATATGGTAAATGCACTAATTACGGTGCGATTCGAATGAAAACATCTTTGAAATAGAAAATTCAACATTTCTATTGTATAAAATATAAAAATCAATTTAAGATATTAAAACAAAAATTTAAACTTTATAAAAATCGATTACTTAAACAAATATGAGAAATTAAAACTAATACCGTAATTTTCTATTACGGCGCGTTTATATATCAATTACGGTGACCAAAATTACGTGTATTTTAAAGATACTTTTGCTCGCCGTAATTGAAGCCAATGGAAATCTTAAAAATGTTTCAATTACGGCGAGAGAAAAAATTTAATCTCAAATAATTGAATTAATAATTGTTTAAATGTGCATCCTTATTAGTAAATATATAAAAAAAAGATTAAAATAATTTTTTTTAATCATTTTGCAACAGTTATATTAAATATAATATAGTAATAATAGCTATTTTTATGAACACGCCGTAATTGGTGCACTTACCCTACTTTTTAATATAATATGAAATTCGGGTGAGTAGAAATTTTTGCCTTATATAAAAAATTTGATAGATATACATTTAATTTTGACAGGAGATTTTCATTTTATAAATTGTTTATTTTGTGAATATATGAATAGAATGTCTATTTGACCCAGTGGAGAAACTAATTTTAGAGAGCCTGATAGATAATCCATACATACATATATCTATATATATATATATGTATGAATGTTTGTTCTCATGTAGTAAATATGTTAAATATATATATTTTTTCTTTTGTGTTTCACAGTCCCAATAATACAAGACGAAATATTTTGAGCAATTCATCTTACAATTATACATCGACTGTGAATAAAGATGCAGATTATAAACGTTTGAATTACAAGTCACAGGAAAGTAACAGTTTTCTACAAAGAAGTGTTTCTGCAGACAATGTTGTAATTCGTACAAGGGGATTTAAACCATCTGACAGGCACGATCCAGCGAAACGAAATTTTCTTGAAAAACTTACTTCTAAAATACTTCATTTCGATATGGTAAGTTTTTTTTTTTTATTTTCTATTAATTTTCTTCTTATTAGAAAAAAAAAATTTTAAAAAATCATCAATTAAAAATAATAGAAATTATGAGAAAAGTTTAAATTTTTCCAGAATTACGAATTTTATTTTAAAAATTATAAACAAATTTTTTGTTTTTTAATTTTTTAAAATTATTTTATATAACTTTAAATATTAAATATTGTCAAGAAGAAAATAATTAACATTCAGTTAAAAACACTTTATGAAACTGTCATAGAAAATAGAAGAAAGTTTTCAAATAATCTTCAAAAGATTTAATAAATTTTTCACTTTTTGACTCAAATGTTTAAGAAAAATTAGAGAATTTCTTTATAAATAAATTAAATTTTTAAATTGTTTGAATTTTAATTAAAAATCTATTTTCTTTTTAATTATTCTATAGGAGAGCGGAGAGAGAACTCCAATAAATTTACAAAAATTGTTGACTCCGGCTACAGATGGAATTGAAAAGACGCACGTTAAAAATAGTAAGTTGCCATATATAATTTATATTGACAATTGACATTAATTTTATTCTCCATTATATATCATTTGTAATTTTTTTTTCTTTTTGCATTCTTTTTTAAATTCGTGAAATTATTTTTCATTTCACGAAATACTATTTAGCGTCAAGGAAAATGGTTGTCGAATTTTTGTTTCAGAAGGTGAAGCTTATTTTTATATCATTCCTGGAAAAATTCAAGTACTCCATTTTAAGGAATTTATATATATATAATATTAATTAGAAAAAGTTTTCTTTATAATTGTAATTAAAAAAAAAACAATAATTTTTTTTTTGCATGCACAAATTTTTGGGTAAGATTAACTTTAGTTAGAAATGGTGGTTTTTAATGATTAATTTTAATTACATATATATATATACACATATAGTAACCTATATATGACCGCTCAGCGATTAGACGAGGGCGAGATTGTTGGTCCTAGCGGAGAGACACGAAGAATACTTTTTTTTATTAACATATAAATAAACAATTTAAAAAATTATTTAAAATACAAATTTTTTGAAAACAAAAATTATTTTTAAATAGATACCAGATTTCAAAACGAGAAAAATATATTTTTTGTTTTTAAATTTGTATAACAGGATCTCGAGAAAAAATATTTTTTTAAGACAACTAAAAATTTTAATTGTTTATAACTTTATCAACAAAAAAAAATATATATATTTTCAGAAATTTATTTTGATCACAGTAGGGTTAAAAAAACATTTAACATTGAACATTAAATTTATTAATTTTAGGTAATCCGTTTGAGACATTCTGACTCATATGTAAATTTATCAACTTTTTCTATAATGAATCAGTAGAATGATTATTGAAAAAAAATTATATTTAAAATTAATAAGACTTTTTATGGTTTTTATTAATTCAATCAGTGAAATATTCACGTGACGCGAAGATAGCGCTCCTAGTGTTCACTGTCAGTAATTCTAAACGCCGTACAGTGTCAATTAATTTCATTCTGCTTTGTTGATTTTTTTTTGTCAGGTGCATTCGTTTAGATTAAAAAAGTCATTAATATATTAAAATTAAAAGGATCATTTTATTGTTTATATATGGAAAAAATACTAAAATACTATTGGTTTACTTAACATCAAGAATTAATAAAATTTTACTAATTCAAATTTAGAGAGAGTTGATAAATTTTTATAATGTGATGTATTTAACAAATTTTTCAATTTATTTGTAAAATTTTCTCTTATTATACCATGGTTGTCCCCCAGTTTCCATACAGTTTAATTTTGAAAAAAACATTTATAAAAAAAAATTATTTCTTTTTATTTTTTTTACTTAAACTAATAAGTCTATTGCATGACAAAAAAGGAATAAAATATTATTGAAAAATAATTAAAATTATTATACAAGATATTTGTAAAAATAGACGGAAACTGGAACAACGACGGTACTTTTTGTGTGGAATGAAAGTTAAGATTTTTAATGAAAAATAATTGTTAGTCCATGTATTATTAATTTGTTTATTTATTTAATTACTTTCTTTTTTTAAAGAAAAAATGTTCGCCTCTTCTTACTTCTACGCTCCTACCCATCCAACGGTAGAAGATCAAGTAGAATTAGCCCGAAGAATTTCAAATTCATTGAGCGATGTGAAGAATATGAAAAGCAAGGGACAATCAATGTATGTTAATCGAAAAAAACGATCAGTAAAATGGATTCATGAAGGCAATGGCAAGTATTATTGAAAACCATATTAAATCAAATATAATATAAAATGAGAAAATTGAAATTAACAGAAATAAATTTTTTTTATAGGAACTGAAGAAGAAGAGGACTCTTCTACTCCAATCCATAAGGTATTTAAATGTTTTATTTTTACTTACCTGTTGTTTTTTTGTCTTTTAAAGAAAATTAAAAAAAATTAATTAACAATAAAAACAGTAAATTTCAACAAAAATCAATTTTATTTTTTTTTAATCAAAAAAAAAACTTCGGTACGAACAATTTAAAAGTTTGAAAACTAAAATCCATCAGGTACAACCAAAGATATAGCATTTTTTTTAAAAAAAGTACCAAAAAAAAATTCAAAATTTAATATGGTGGAAAATTTTTGAAATATATTTGTACATTTTATTTTGTAACGATAGAGTATCGTAGTATAGTGGCACTTTCTTCCCCCACCACTCGCTGTCACCTAGCTGCTAGTGATATACCTTTCGTCTCGCACCATTTCCTCAGTCTTTTTCCGACTCGTCTAGAGGTGCTTCTCTGACTCACTCCTGGTTAACTGGTGCTCAGTAGAGGTGAGTCTCTCTGAACACCTCTCCATAAGCTCGTCACAGCAGGAATTTCTGTAAATGTAATAAAAATCATCCGCTCTTTTCTTAAAGACAGAAATTTCAACGTGAAAATTGAAGACATCTTGTCTTCAAATAAACCCTTACAATCAGGAGTTTCTCAAGCGTCAGTCCTTGAACCAATATTATACAACTTGTATACTTATGATATACCAAAAAACGGCTACTCACAAAAAGCACTATTTGCAGATGACACTGCCATGATTGGACAATGTCGTTGCCCAAAGTTAACTATAAGGAGACTGCAAGATTCTCTTAATGAAGTGATTAGCTGGATGGATAAATGGAAAATAACCATCAATAAAGATAAAACTCAGGCTGTTTTTCACACCAAAAGAAATTCAAAACCACCCGGAATGATCAAAGAAATTGACAAAAGCATCTCTTGGTCCAATTCTGCCAAATATTTGGGAATCCATATTGACCGTAAATTAACTTGGTGCAAGCACACTGATGAGATCAAGAAAATAGGCTTTATAGCCATAAACTCGTTAGGACCACTCATTAAAAATCCTAAACTCAACCTAGAATCGAAGAGACTTTTATTTCTATTCATAATTCGACCAGCAATAATCTATTGCATCGGCACCTGGGGTTCTGCGGCTGATACTCACATTGATAAATTCAAGTCATTCATAACAGGCTACTAAGATTAATAACAAACGCTCCTTGGTTTGTTACCAATGCTTAACTTCATAAAGATTTAAAAATTCCCACCATACGCAAATATGGTCGTGATTTGGCCCTAAAACTGTTTAATCAAGTTGAAAATCATGAAAACCAGATTCTTCAAAACATACTCAAATATAACCCTAAAGACTGTCGTCCTCGACGGAGGCGCCATCGCATAGTAGAAATACTTGATGAGGGTCTACAATAATTTCTAAATAGACTATCTTCAAGGATCCAAATTTCCTTCAATATTCGATATCAAGGGTAAAGATGCTAAAGCATCAACCTAAATATTTACACCGGAGCCTTCCTTACTTCCTAGAAGGAGCTGTACTTGTTCCTGTAGACGCTCCTGCGGAACTGTAACACCCTTCGCCTTCCTTCCTCGTGGTGAACCGGACTTTCTATGGACGCTTCCGTGGAAGACTGTTGAACCAGGTTACTCAATCACTTCTACCAGGACCGTCCTTGTCGAGTAGAGTCGCTCCTCTCTTGACAAAGATGATGCACTAGGTCGATTCCCCATCTCGAGGCGCTTCTCGGGTGGAGGAGACACCTGGTGAATATTACTTTGCACTAGCTGCGCGTCGGGCATGAATATTGGAACCGAATCCAATATCTACACTGAGAGAAGTTAAACACAGATTTCGTACTAAACACACGTTCAGATAGTGTACCTAACCTTTCGAGCAACATCGGTTCTAAATTGTATCGCAGCTGCGCTTTTTGGTGGACAGATACTGTACTAAATCGTTTGTCCAACAAGTTAAGTCAGAATCTGTACTCAATTGGCGCTGCTGCTGTTCGATTTTAGTACTGCGTCTGCACATGATTGAGGTACAATATCTGTCCCTCAAAAAATGCAGATGTTGCGTTAAACTTCTCTCAGTGTAGCTTCTTCCGGATTACGAATAATAATCGACCTAGCGTGCACGACCCTAGTATCCGTCCGTACCGCCGTCTAGGGGGTAAATTCTAGAAAGTACCTCACGCGAAAGTAATATGCGTCGTCCTGATCAACATCTTCGCGAACGTGTAAATATGTTTAAATCCGTTTTATTCTGGATTAATGACGAGCGCGATTGGAGCTCAGCGAACGCTCCTCTAGAATAGCTATAGTTCTTTCATCGTTATGTTTTCTAGAGATTAGTATTTTATTTGCATTGTATAAATTCTTTCGTTCTTATATTTGTAATAATTCATTTTTGTATATTTTATTATTCTTTTATTTAAACAATATATTCTCTTTCGAAGGTTTAAATAAAGACTCGTCAATGACTACGCCTCTCCTCTATACATCATAGTAAGAAATAGTTCCGAAATTAATCGAAACATAGATGGCGCTTCACGCCATCTACCGAGATTTGAAGTAACTAGTCAAAATAGGTACCCGGACTCCATCCGGCGAGCAAATCCTTTGGCAATAAAAGTTAGATCATTACAATTTATTACCACCAAAAGATAGAATATACCAAATTACAATCAAATCTAAAAAATTTATAAAAAATTTTGTGTTGAACTGATGTAAAAATTTATTCATCTAAAGCGCACAGAACAAAAAAAAATTTCGATTTTTCGTACTAGAATTTACCTATAGTTTACGGTATTGACAATTTTAACATTCTTTTTTTTTAGGACAAACTTCCTTTAAAGTGTGTAATGAATCCTTGTGGAAAGGTCCTTGACATCAATGGAATTCAGGCTCTTGGAGAGGAAGTCAATATTGAAACATTTCCTTCACATCCGGAAAAACTGTTCGATATTGTTCGTGACTTGAATAATCAAAGGGGCCGAGGTAAGTGAATTGGTCAATTTTTCTGTAAATTATGTATACATTTTTATTAAATTAATTTTTAAAATATCACATAAATTTCTAATTAACGGAATTTTTAACAAAATTTTCAATTCTTTTTATCGAATTTCCAATTATCTGAAATTTAATTTAGCCGAATTTTCATTTTTTATAATATAGATCAAAATTTTTAAAACTGATAGTCTAAAATTAACAAATTGAATTTTTAATGTTAAATATTTTTTGACTCCTACTGTGATCAAAATAAATTTCTGAAAATAGAACGAAAGCAATTTTGTTTTTAAAGTTATAAACAATTGAAATTTTTAGCTGTCTTAAATAAAAAAAAATGTCTCGAGATCGATTTGAAAAATTTAAAAATAAGTTATTCTCGTCTTGGAATGTGGTATTTAATAATAATTTTTGTTTAAAAAAAATAATGACAAACACAGTTCTAAGACAAGAAAAGGCTATTATTGTTTTTTCAAATTTTTCAAGTGGATCTCGAAATTTTTTTTTCAGACAGCTAAAAATTTTAATTATTTAAAACTTTAAAAACAAAAATTTTTTTTCTGATATCTATTTTCAAAAATATATTTGATTACAATAGAAATAAAAAAAATTAAAGCGGTGGTCTGTATTTATTACATGGACAGGGAATTTGGATCGTGACAACGTCTTTTTTAATTAATTAAAATATATTTTATAAGATTATTATTTAGTATTTATATTGTACATAAACACACTGAAAAAAAGGGGCGCATGATTATCTTCTAAAAATCATTAGTCAGAATTTACATTTTATCGAATTTCATTTGTCATAATTAGTTTTGAGCCGAATTTTTATTTGTTCGAATTAGTATTTTGCATAATTTTCATCACACCGATTTTCTATATTAAAGAATTTTTATATAACCGAAAATTCACTTCACAAAATTTTTATTTGTTCGAATTTTTATTTGCTCGAATATTCATTTAACATAATAGGCATTTTAAATAATTTTCATTGGGTAAAATTTCATTGCATAGAATTTTCTTTCAGATGAATTTTCATTTGTTCGAATTATTATTTGATATAATTTCCATATAACCGATTTTTCATATACAGAATTTTTACTTAACCGAAAAATCATTTAATAGAATTTCTAATTGATAGAATTTTCATTTGTCCGAATTTGCAAGTGGCCGAACAAACAATCGACAGAAAGATTTCGGCACGATTCACAATTTTATGGATAATTTTTGATTAGTTGATTTTAAAAATCGCGACGAAATCTTTCTGTTGATTGTTTGTTCAGCCATTTGCAAATTCGGACAAATGAAAATTCTCTCAATTAGAAATTCTGTTAAATGATTTGTCGGTTAAGTAAAAATTCTGTAGTATGAAAAATCAGTTTGATGAAAATTATGCAAAATACTAATTCGAGCAAATAAAAATTCGGCTCAAAATTGCTGAAATTTTGCACCAGAATAATATGAAGACATAACCTCAATTATAGATTTACTCTGTTTAAGAATTGTGGTGGACCAGTTAATTATAACAATTCTTGAACAGAATACATCCATGATTGAGGTTATGTTTTGATATTATTCTGGTGGAAAATTTCAGCAATTGGCAATACTGTGACTATATACTATGTACACAGGCAACGATACGAAAACAAAACAAAGTGACAGCTTCGGCAGCCATGTTTATTTTGACTATTATACATATATAGGTATATAGTGGATACTGTCAGCAGTGGCGCTGTATACTAACATATGTTAAATCTTTAACCGGTCGGTAACATAGAAAATTATAAAAAATTTCATTTCCAAATTTGACAAAAATAAGTTTGGCATCGAGATTAGATCGAAAGTAATCGAATAACACAAAAATCTTGAAAATATGACTTATAGTTTTCGAGTTCTGGCCGGCGATATGAACGCCAATTTTTCTGACTGGCTGCCTAGACCTCGGAGTAAGACGTTGTCAAGTCAAAAAATTTAACATTAAAAATGAATTATACTTTTTGATAATTTTTGTTGATCCGTTTGAGAAATTGTGATACATATTAAATTTAAAACTAATAAAAAATAATTATGAGAAGCTAAAAATAATTCAATAGTAAAATTGAGTAAAATAAAAATTTTACTTATTTATCAAAAATTAGACATTAAAAATTCTGCCAAATAAATATTTAGTAGAGTAAAATGTGGCATGAATTTTATATAAAAATCCAATAAAAAAAATGGTTTTTTATGAAAAATTTTGCTAAATATATGTAAATGTTTAACGTCAATTTAGGGAAGAAACACGACAATTCAGGTGAGTGTTGAGAAACATGACATTCTAGAAAATATTTGAGAAACCTGACATTCTAATAAAGATATTTTTTAATTAACTGTTTTGAAATGACAGGTATATTTTATTTTTTAAAAATATCTGGGTCAGAATTTCTCAAACGGATCACCTAAAATTCAGAAATTTTTTTTTTAATCAAAAATCATTTCTTTTGACTCCTTACATGGTAAAAATAAGTCCCTGAAATTTTTAGGTCAAAAAAAATTTTTTGTTAAAGTTATAAACAATTTAAATTTTTTGCAGTCTTATTTTAAAAAAATTTTTTCTCGAGTTCCTGTTCACCAATTAAAAAAAAGCGTTTTTTCTCGTCTTAAATTGTAGTTTCTAAATATAATTTTTATTTTGAAAAAGTTTCATATTTAATAGATTTTTATATTATTTATTTATAAAATGTTATTAAAAAATAGTGTTCTTGACATTCTACAGAAAATTAATTTTTTTTTGAATTCCCCACACAATTTTGTGTAAGAAACCGTTGAGAAAAAAAAATGAGACTAAAAAAAAATTTCTAAATTTTAAGTGATCCGTTTGAGAAATTCTGACCCATCTCACGCTAAAAACCATTTTTTAATTTGAGGTTAATAACCTAAGGGTGTCTAATGGTTAGGGAAGTCAGGGAAATGTCAGGGAATTTCAGAAAATTTCATTCAAAGTCAGGGAAATTTCTGTAAATTTTTACAAAAATTTAAATTTTTTGTGAATTTAAAAATTTTTAAATCTAAAAAAACTTGAATGGTTTTTATTACCATTTGTTACTACCATTAGAAATTAATTTATTGTTAAATATGTCATTAATCATATTTTTGTCCAAAAAAAAGCAAAAATAAGGTTATTAAAAAGTCAGGGAAAAATCAACAAATGTCAGAGAGGAGTCAGAGAAAAGTCAGGGAATTTTTCTCTCAATCTTTGTTAGACACCCTGGGTTATGTTACGTAACCATTTCCTTCTTAATACGCAGTCCCCAGAATTCGGAAAGTAAATTTCTCAATGTAATCTATAATGGAACGATCGAAATGTGACACTATTTTGAAAAAGTTTTTTCGGTAAATCCTTTACCCGTGAGATAAAAGTATAATAATAATAATAATAATAATAATAATAATAAAAAATCTTTCTAAAATTTATTAATCGAGGACATAAAATTCAAAAACTAATTGAATGTCAATAAAATTTATTAGAATATTACAAAAACTTTGCATAGAGTAGATATTTTTCTAATCGATAGTTCATTTATTATAATTGTTTTATAAATTTACGATGTAAAATTATTAGTCCTCTTGTGTGATTTAAAATAATTTTTTTTTTTAAGTGTTATGACATTTATTCATTTACAAAAAAATTTCTTATCGACGACATACTCCCCAACGATGTCCAGGTTGACGGTCGCAAGTTCCAATGCAACACCGATTAACGTCATCGCATAAATGATCTTTTTTAATACAAAAGGACATAACAGTAGGAGCGAAAATCATTAAAATTGTTGTCAATAACGTTAATAGTACTCCATAAGTTGCCATTTTAATTACTGTAAAATTAATACAATTATTGATATAATTGTAATTTTATAAAATTAAAATCACTGTCAAAAATTTTAGTTATTTTCATTAATCTTAATGGATGTAATTTATTTATTATTATTATTTTTTATATAATGTGGTAAAAAGAAAAATGAGTAATTATTTAATTAATTATTTTACAGTAGAAATAAGGTTTCTTAAAAAATGTTTAGACCTAATAATTTTTGCATAAGAAATTACAGTGAAATGCAGCAGATCAGAATTTTTTTTTTAATTTTGCGTAAATTAGTGTAATTAGTAATTTGTCACTAGTTTATGAAGCAAAAAGTCAGTCAAAATTTCATTATAATAATTATTTATATTTTTGACTAATTCAGATTTAGAGAGTACATACTAGTAAAATCATTCTGAATATTGTACTTTTAATAAATCAGGTTTAGTTTTTTGAGTGTGTAAAAAATTTAACTTTAGATTTACCTTTTATATGAGAGATGAACGTTAGTGAGTAGAAAGCAAAATATTATAATAGAAAAATTTCAATTCAGTTAGTTTTTATACCCAAGTTTAAAAATATCTTAATTTTTTTTTATACAAAATATTTTATCAAACAATAAAGTACAATGACAATTAAAAACAATTTTCCTTCTTTCGTTTCAAAATTATAATCAAAATCGAACAAATGGAAAATATTCATTCTTTTATGTGCCATTTGTGTAAATAGAAAATAATCAGACGTGTTGAGGAAATTAATACTTTTTTTTTTATACCGTTAGAAAAGCACCGTATGGTATAGTCACAGTCCATGAGGACGAAGTATTTTCTTTATAAATTAATGGTAAAAAAAATTTATTTTCATACTTATATAATGTTCCAATTTTATTTTCTTTCTTTTACAATAATTTTTTATTTCATGCGATATTGGTAATTGTTTGAAAATATAACTTATGTCGAAATTCTTCAGTTTCGACATAAGCCCCAGCGATGTCCTGCTGGTCTCTCACAATATCCTGTACAACATGTAATAACATCGTCACACTGACGTCCAGGGTCACCACAGTATGACATAACACTAGGTGCGAAAATCATTAAGATTGTTGCTAGCAACATGAATAAAGCTCCGAAAGATGCCATTTTCTTTTTTTTTTTTTTTTTTTTTTTGCTATAAAATTAATATCAATATTAGCATTAGATTTTGAAAATGAAAAATAGAAAATCCAATATGTCGAACTTAAAAAATGTATATAATATTTCCTTGAAACTTATTTCTCTATGATTTTCTGTATAATCGTGATGATTCCATCAAAAACTTACGAGTAACAAATTTCAAATGAAGTTTTCTGTGATAAACAATATATCATTTACAATTTTTTCAGGATTAAAATTAATTCATAACACCTTTAAAAATTGAAAATAAAAATTGTTTAAAAAAAATAATTGCAAAATTTTAAAATGAAATTTTTTTTAAATTCAACATTTATTGAAATATATAAAATACATTTTTTGTATTTTTAATAATAATGGAGTTATGATAAAAGAAAAAAATAGTTACTCTAATTTGTTATTGTAAATATCTTATAATTTCAAAGAATTGAATAGAAATAATTCAAACATATCTATAAAAATTTGATATATTTATAAAAAAAACAATAAAATTTCTTGTGGAAAAATTGTTGAGTTCCCCTGCAGGGGACCCTTAATAATTTCCACAATTTCGTGGTTCAATTTTTAAGAAATAAGTCACCTAATCTTTATTTCAGATATTTTAGAATATAATTTAAAGATTTCTAAACTAATTTTTTTTTAACAAAACAAAAAATACTGAAGTCTAACTTACATTTAAGAAACAGTGACGTACGTTTTTAAAGTAAGATTTTTAACTGAATTTCAATATTGCGAACAGCTTTTATACCATCCAAGTTAACTCATTATCTTAATATTATTAAACAATAAAATTAAAAATCATTAGACATTTTTGTGGCCTTTAGTCTAGAAATGATATGATAAATCGTTTGACTTTTAATATTTCACATGTTTTCCTTATAAATATAGTAAATCTCAAATAATAGTTTACAATAGTTTCCTGTTATATATAAAATAATGTTTAAAAAAAATTCAACAATATTTACAAAAAGATATAATATTTTATTTTTAAGCTCTTTACTGTTTGAAAAAAATTTTCATAAAACTTAGTATGCAAAGTGTTATTGAAATCGATGAATTCAAATTTCACCATCCTCGAAAACGTGTAAAAATCGGCAGGAATAAAAAATTATATATCCTCCATTTTGAGTTTTTCAATTTTGATGTCAGATCTGAATTCAGGGACACAGAAAACTTCCTAATACTAAAATTGTATTGCTTATTTTTTCCGAATTGTTTTATTATATACATACAATCTATAAATATTCGCGGAATAATATCCATTTTTTAAATGTCATTTGTGTAAACAGAAAATAATCAGACTTTTGCAGAAAGTTAGCATACTTAATACTACATATAAATAGATTATCGGGAAAACAAATTGAATAAGAAAACATGATTTTTTTTATTTTTATAATATACCTTTCTTCGAAATTCCTAACAATGTTTATTTACCGTCCAAAATAAAATTATGCATTTAATGTAACAATTATTAGTATTGCTGTTTATGTATCATTTTACATCTGACTGTCAGACAATTTATCAAAAAATTATTTAACTAAATTAATAAAAATTTTACTTCTTCAATATAAATTCAATTAGTGAATCAAATAAAAACTATTAGGTATAGTAGTAAGTATAAATATTTGTTCTCTACAATATAATCAAGTACAAATAGATTATTTGAATCTCAAATATAATAATTTTCGAAAAAAATCAATAATTTTTGCTATTTCATCTGATTTTTGTTTTTTTTTTTAAATACTGAAATACAAAATAATTATAATAATATCAAAGTATTCTAAATGTGTCGAAGCAATTTTGGGATTTTATTATACCTTTATACCTGCATCTCGAGCTTAGTGTTTACATTAAATCAGTTGCAATTCGTTTATTGACCTGTTAAGACGTGCACAACGGGAGTGTAAATTTTGTATTTTTAGAAGCAAATTTGTCTATATTATAAACATTTATTTCCTTTATTATTATTTTTCTTTTCTTTTGGGAGTGTTCGAAATTCTTATAATCGCTATCGCTTAAATTTTTTTAAAAAAATTTTATTTCTTATAATATAAAAACGTGGTTTCCGGAGTGTTATAAATTTTTTAAATCGTGTGTATGTCTGACATATCTTAGATGATACATCAGTTGCAGACTAAGGTTTGAGGTATTTTTATTAACTATATTCAATTGTTTTTGTAATACTAAAAAATTTGAAAATATTACGTTTAGAATGACCTCGAGAATGACCCATCTTCTTCTTAAATGACTTCTGGCGCAGCCAACTGTCATTTTTTTTACCCTTACTCTCTTTAAATTCCAGATGAAAAAATGGGAAATTTTTATAATATAAAAATGGTTGATAAATTGAATTTCTAATGCCAATGCTAAAAAAAAATTTTTTGGCTTATATAAGAGGAGCTAAGGAATAATTGTAACAGGGGTCAAAGTGGGCAAAAAACCATGTTCGTTTTAAAAACATTTTAAGAACGTTTCATGTCTGCCAATTAATGTTCTGAAACATTTTAAGAACATATATAGATGTTCAAATAATCATCTGGAACATTATTTAAAAATTTTCTTAAATTTCGAAAATATTGATAAAATCGTTTGCCGACGACCGAACTAGGCTTAAAATTTGTTTAATAATCCGAACATAATTTTTCTCGTAATTAATTAATATATTGTTTCCATCACTTTATTAACGAGTCTTGAACCATAAAGCGATCCTTGAGCCGCCGTAAGAAATTCGTCTGACATATTGAAAAAGACATTTTGAATTTTTAAAAACTCACGTCAGATTAGTAATCAGCGACCCTAAAAATATCCGAGTAACAAGTTTCAAGCGAATTAGATGAATTTTAAAAAAATTAGTCCACCATATTGAATGCGCCATTTTTAATTTTTGAAAACTGACATCGGTTCAGTATAATTAGCGACCTCAAAAACCTCTAAGTAATAATTTTCAAACGAATACAAAACTGTTAAAATATAAATTTTATTTCAAGTACATATAGTTTTTGTTGATTAAAAAATATATAATATATTATATATCATTATCGACATAAACCCCAACGTTGTCCTGGTGTTCGTTCACAATGACGATTGTTACAACATTTAATAGGACCACCGTCACATTGACGTCCAAGTTCAGCGCAATATGACATAACACTTGGTGCCAAAACCATTAAAATTGTTGCTAGCAACATGAATATAGCTCCATAAGCTGCCATTTTCAATTTAGATACTGTAAAATCATTGTATGGTTAATGCATGTTTGTAAGAAAATAATGATTTGTCATTTTATCAAATTTGTCTTAGACAAAATTTTCATCATTAATGAATTGCTAAATAATAAAACTGCGTTATTTAAGACCATGTGAGAAAAATACACGATGCTGAAGTACGCAACGTTTATGATCAATGATTAGAAATCAATTTTTATTCAACACGAAAAATTATAAAATTGTTTACTTAAAAAAATATAATAAAAACTATAAAAAATATTTTTCAGACAAAAAATTATAGAATTTTTCATTTAAAAGTCTTCAACAATTTCTAATATTTTAAATGAAAAGTGAAATTATAAGGAATCGTTACATGTATATAAAAATTATTTAAAAATGTGCAAATCAACTAAAATTTAGTTTAAAATATTTTTTCTTTTTTTTGGGGGGGGGGGGGGGAAATTTAGAAAATTTTTTAAAGCATAATACTAAATTAACTGTAGCAATTTTAATATTGTAAACTTACGAATCAGAGGACGATGAACTTAAATAGAAAACCTGTGTTGAATGATACATTTTCCTATACCGCCAGGGGTTTTTATATCACATTTCACTCATTATCATTTTCCTATTGTTATCATGCTAAAATAATAAAACAAAAATATAAGGCATTTTACATGTAATGTCCTGAGTTAAAAAATTGATTTCTCGAAAAAAAGTGAAACTTGGGGAAATTGTTGTTTATATTAATAAAATATCCCCAAAAAAATTTTTGACTTTTTTGAAATTTTAAGGGAGATAGAGGGGGTCAATTTTATCAGTTTTCCCTGACACCGCCTACTATTTGAATTTTTTCTGTCTATAAATGCAATAAAAAAAAAATTTTGGCAGGTATGTTTTTTGAAGGATTTTTCATGCTCTTTCCAATGGTGAATTTCGTTTTTAAAAATTTTGGAATTTTGACCTTGATTTTCTATAATTAAACATAAATTTGCTATTTTCACTAAAATCGGTCCGATTTTTTTTTTTAAATAAATAATTGCAACTTTGTCTTATTATTCTATTGTTATATATGACAAAGGAATCGTATTTTGCTTAAAAAGTGTTATTATAAAAAATTGTATATTTAAAGAAAATTCAATATTGTTCAAATATATCCTGTGTATAACTAAATTTAGCATAAGTAGAACAATGTTATTGTTATAATTTTATTTTCCTCATTTAATTTTGTTAAAACATTATTTATACACGTGAGTAAGAATTATGGAAAATAACCAGAAATAGTTTTTTTTTTATAAATATAACACCGTCCGACACGATTTTTCACACACGAAAAAATCAATGATTTTCAGAAACTAGGACCAAAAAAAAGATACCCGTGTCTGGCCGTTTTGCTAGATCAGGTCATTTTTTGCTTTTAGGGGTAAAAACAACCCTTAATTGAAAGGTGATAGGAAATCTTGTACAAATAAATAATTTTTTATGAAACCTGGTATCTCGGGGTTTTTCTGGTCGCTGATTATGAATCTGATGTCAGATTTTGAAAATTCAAAATGGCGGATCCAATATGGCGGTCGAAATTTAAAACATTAATTACTTTTTATAAAACTTGGTGTCTAGGGGTTTTTGGGGTCGCTGAGCACGAATCTGAAGTCAGATTTTTAAAATTCAACATGGCTGATTCAATATGGCGGTCGAAATTTATAAAAGTTCATCGAATTCACTTGAAACTTGTCACTTGAAGGTTTTTGGGGTCGCTGATAACGAATATGATGTCGGATTTTAAAAAATTCAAAATGGCGGATCCAATATGTCGGTCGAAATTTATAAATATTAATTATTTTTTATAAAACTTGGTTTCTAGGGGTTTTTGGGGTCGCTGATAATAACATAATAATAATAATAATAACATAATAACATTTATAAATTTCGACCACCATATTGGATCCGCCATTTTGAATTTTGAAAACCCGACATCAAATTCGTAATCAGCAACCCCAAAAACCTTCAAGTAACAAGTTTCAAGTGAATTCGACGATCTTTTATAAATTTCAAACGCCATATTGAATCTGCCATTTTGAATTTTGAAAATCTGACTTCAGATTCGTACTCAGCGACCCCAAAAACCCCTAGACACCAAGTTTTATAAAAAATAATTAATATTTATAAATTTCGACCGACATATTGGATCCGCCATTTTGAATTTTGAAAATCTGACATCAGATTCGTAATCAGCGACCTGGAAAACCCCAACATACCAGGTTTCATAAAAAATTATTTATTTGTACAAGATTTCCTATCACCTTTCAATTAAGGGTTGTTTTTACCCCTAAAAGCAAAAAATGACCTGATCTAGCAAAACGGCCAGACAAGGGTATCTTTTTTTTGGTCCTAGTTTCTGAAAATCATTGATTTTTTCGTGTGTGAAAAATCGTGTCAGACTGTGTTATAATATAAAAAAAGGTAACAATTGTAGAGAATGTTTCACTAAGTAAAATGAGCTTTTGTCTATAAAAATTGGTTAAAAATTGCAATTTTTGTCTGATTTAAAAGAAAAAAAAACTAAATGTTATAAAAATAATTATTCATAAAATATTTTGGAAAAAAATAATTTTTTTCGAAAGGAAATAATCTAGATCTTCTAAAATTGTTTGAAATTAATATTTATTATATTTTTGTTTGCGTTAAAAACAATTTTTTAATTTTGACAGGTTTTTGAAGTTATGTTGACCGGCCACCCTTCTTAAGAGAAGTATCGACATAAAATTAAATATTTGTATTGCACATTGTCCTTTTTTTAAAATCTATTTGTCTTTTAAAGATTGCTGATGAGTAAATTTATACCCTGCGCACGCTATTAAAAATTATTTAAAAACAACTGAATAAACAATAAATCAAAATTTTAATCCAAATAGATATATATATATTTTGGTATTCAAAAAATCATATGGAATATTTTGTTTTCATATAATTAACGACATAAGCCCCAACGTTGTCCTGGTGTTCGGTCACAATAACGATTGTTACAGCATACAATATCACCACCGTCACATTGACGTCCAAGTTCAGCACAATATGACATAACACTTGGTGCCAAAACCATTAAAATTGTTGCTAGCAACATGAATATAGCTCCATAAGCTGACATTTTTAATTTAATTACTGTAACATTATTCTATCATTAGTGCATGTTTGAAACAATATTATCATTTAATCAAGTTGTCATTTTTATCGAATTGCTAAATAATAAAACTGTTATTTTATTTTATTGACAAATTAAATTTCGACGATTTTATTCATTAAATGAATAAGTAACCATTTTGACTAATTCTTATAGTAAAAGAAATATTACCAATTCATTTAATAAACAAAACGGCACAGTTGAATTAATAGCTATTAAATTTAAATGCGACAATATTAAAATAGTAACTTACGAATCAAATAATGATGAACTTAAGTACAATATCTGTATTGAATGATAAATTTTCGTAAATCGCCAGGGGTTTTTATATCCTATATTGTTATCATGCTAAAATAACAAAGCTAAAATCTCCTTTAAATTTTCCTTCAATGTAGTATAGCAGTATTTAAAAAAAATAATTGCATATTTAAAGAAAATTCAATAATATTTTTAAAATAATTTCTGTGTAACTAAATTTGGAAAATTTTATTTTCCTCATTTAATTTTGTTAAATCATTATTTATACACGTGAGCAAGACTACCGTACAATGGAAAAACATACGGCAGTGAAATTTTGGTAAAAAATGAGTTTTTGGTATCAATGGATTAGTAATGAAAAACTGCATCCAACTATCGTAATTAAAATTAAAAATTTTAATTATTTATAATAAAAAATTAACGTTGAACATAAGGTAAAAGTATTCATTATGAGACAGTTTTTAAAATTTCACCTATTATGGTTAATAAAAAAATTTATTTCTTTATTTAATTCAAATAAAAAATTTCGTAAAATGAAAGAAATATTTATTTGAGTCAATAAAAAGCAAATAAAGAAATAATTTCTTTATATCAAAGAAATTTTTCTTTGACCCTATAACAATCCACAAATTTCTTTGATTCAAAGAAACTTTTTTCTAGGTGTAAGAAAGGAACACAATAACTTAAGAAAACATGCAATTAAAACAGTTGAAAAAATAATTATAACAATTTTTTAAAATTATTTATTATTTTCAGGGTCTTTGATTGAGAATATAGTAATTTTGAAAAGTGTTTTTAAGTTTCTGCTAAAAAAAAAGTAAAAAAAAAACATTGTAATTAAGAGTGTCGAACGCTCTCTGAAATTCTTTGACATTTAATTATCACCCTAAAAAGCGGCACTGAACACAAAAAAGATAAATTTTGATTTTAAAATACTTTTTTCTTAAAATACGGACACTTTTTACAAAATCGTCCAAAACACCAAGAATCCTTATCTTAAAAATTTCCTAAATCCGAAAAATTGTGCTAATTCATACAAAAACGCGATTGCATAACGAAAAGTAGGAAAATAATATATCCAATTATGTCTGAATTGACTGTCCAAGTCAACCTACCGCTTTATGTGTTGTACTCAATAGTTGGACAAAGATTTAATTCAATTAACTCAATCAGTTTAATTATTAATTTACTTAATATAATTAATTTAATTATATTTTAGTTTAATTATTTAATTTATTAAATAATCAGAATAACTAAATAAATAAATTATTATTTAATGTCCAACTACTGGGTCTTATCGTGTCCAACTTCTACTGATGCAAATGTGCAATTTCATTATTTCATGATTTTAATTTAATTAAAATATCTAATGTTATTAATTTTGTCTAATTAGTATTTTTTAAAGGTAAATAAAATACGAAAATACAAACATTTTATAAATTATATTGAATTATCTTAGTACAAAACACAAATAAATTTTAAACCCCTTCAATAGCGTCCAGGTACTGGTGCTTTTACCTTATATAATATTTTTTGGTGTTCAGAAAATTATGTTGAACATTTTTATTCATATAATATTATTTTATATTTATCGACATAAACCCCAACGTTGTCCTGGTGTTCGTTCACAATGACGATTGTTACAGCATTTAATAGGATCACCGTCACATTGACGTCCAAGTTCAGCACAATATGACATAACACTTGGTGCCAAAACCATTAAAATTGTTGCTAGCAACATGAATATAGCTCCATAAGCTGCCATTTTTAATTTAATTACTGTAAAATCATTCTATCATTAGTGCATGTTTGAAACAATATTATCGTTTAACCAAATTGTCATTTTATCAAATTTGTCTTAGACAAAATTTTCATCTTTAACGAATTGCTAAATAATAATACTGTTATGACCATGTGGGAAAAATACATTTTTAGAATTCTTAAAATTTCTCTAAAATAAAAAAATATTTGTGATTAAAATGATATATTCATGCAACGTCTGTTTATATTCGTCGCCGCATGTTTGTTGTCATTTTTGTTTAAAACAACACATTAGTTAAAGAATTACGCACTGTTGTTTCAACTTCAAATAAATTTTCAATTTCAAGGAAATAATGACCGTTCGATGAAATATAGGCCTGTAGTGAATATTCGCTTCATACGCATGTATATTAAATTTAATACAAATTTTTCTAACAGTGTAGACCACCATGCAAAAAATGCCCGTTTTTCGTATCTCGAATTTTGAAACTTTTTTTTATGCCAAATGGTTATTTATAATGATCCAATAATTCCTGCAAAATTGCAAGGTGATCATGTGCCCCGTTTAACCCCTTCACTGTTAGAGAAAAAAATTGATACTGTAGTCCAGTAATAACAAATTCTGGTTGACAAATTTTTATGAAACTTGGTATATATAATGGTTTTTGGGATCGCTGAATTTAAATATAACCTCAAAAAAAAAAAGAATTCAAATTGGCAGATCTAAAATGGTGGATATGTTTTTTTAAATTTATGCAGAATTTTATAAAACTTTTTAAATAAGGGTTTTTTTTGGGTCACTGAATTCAAATTTTAATTTGAAGGTCAAATTCAATTTCAGCACCATTGAAAACCCCCTTATAACAAGTTTCATTAAAGTCCGTTAAAATTTTAAAAATTATTTCCGCCATTTTGGATCCGCTATTTTGAATTTTTGAATTCAAAGGTCAATTTGAATTCGAAAAACCGTTGTATACCTAATTTGGGTTAAAATGAAAAAAAAAATTTTTTCGTGATTTTTACTTGTTTTTCAATTTTTACCTTAGTTAAAAATAATAAATAATTATTTAATTATTACAAAGATCATTGATATCTGTAGTATGCGAATAATGATATAATAGAATTTATTTTACAATTTACATAGAAAATTTCATTTATTTTGTTTTAAGATGCGATCACGGGACAACGTATGTGTCGCTGAGAGTGAAGGGGTTAAGAAATATAGGGGGTCAAAGTTGACCATGTCCAATATATATAATTATATATTTATAAAATAATAGTTTTATATTTATAATCGAATAATAATGTTCAAATAATCCAGACGAAATGCTTTCTTTAATATTTTTATCTGCCTATTATAAATACAAATCTAAAGTCAAATTTTCAAAATTCAAAATGGCAGATCAAATATGGCGGAGGAAATTTAAAAAGTTGGTCAAATTCACTTGAAACTCGTTACTTGAGGATTTTCGAAGAAGTCACTGATTACGAATCTGAAATCAGTTTTTAAAACTAATTTTAGATTCGTATAGTCAGTGATCCCAAAAATCCTTGATTAACAAGTTTCAAGTGAATTCGATATAGTTATACAAAATTTGTCCGCCATTTTGAATTTTGAAAATCTGACTTCCGATTCGTAATTGGCAGCCAAAATTATTGAAGTAATCAATTCTTCTGGATTTTTTCGAACGTTATAAATATTGTTTCGAATAGTATTCGTTATCAAAGATAACACAGCCCCACAAAAAAAAAAAGTGTCATGTACTTTTGACCGGAATACCCTAACTTTATGTATTTTGACGCGCTGAACACGAATCCGAAGTCCGTTTTGCTCCATCACGTCAGGATTTTTTTCTAACCTCAAAAAACATGTCGGATTTTGAGAAGTACACAGAAAAAAATTTTCTGTAGAATTTACAGAAACTCTTGCGCCATCTACTGATGTTTCTCCAAATAGAGAAATATGTTGAATCATTGGCATTAAAATCTGTTAATTCTACAAGTTTGAGCTACAGTTCTTAAAAGCTGTTGAGTGACCAAATTATGTATACTATATGGGGATAATATATATTTGGTAGAGTATTTCTTATAGGTTATATTCTCCTCCGAATACATTAAATTCGCGGAACATTATTGTATAAATTAGTATAACTTCTATGTAAATAAATTCATCCTTCAATAATTTTCTAACAAAAAAAATGAGGAGCAAGTTTTCAAAACTTATGATAAATCCACTTTTTCTTATGTCGAGAAATTGAAACAAACGACTTTTCTCACTTAATCACTACAGTTAATTTTAAAATAAAAAATTTCTAATAATTTATTTCTATAATAATAATGTTTATATACTTAAGACGTTTCCTTTTTAATTGAACTTTCTTGCCGACACTATGATAATAATAAAAACACTAAATTCGCCTTAACCTCTCGCACTCAATCGTACTCAGCCTTAGTCGAATCACTGCATTGTTTTCGCGCATGCGTTAAATCCTTGCAGAAAATATCTGTAGAATTAACAGATTTAGGAACATGTAAAATCTCTAAATCGACGTTAAAGAATTACCAGAAAATTTTTTTCCGTGTAGGCGATTTTTTTAAAAATTGATGTATTAACTTCAAACTTAGTATCTGGGGGTTTATTTTGTCGCTGATTACGAATCTGAATTTAGATTTTCAAAATCCAAAATCGCGGATCCAATATGGCGGAAGAATTTTGAAAAAATTTTAAGATTTACTTCAAACTTGGTATCTAGGGGTTTTTTGGGTCGCTGATTACGAATCTGATGTCAGATTTCCGAAATTCGATATGTCTGATTCAATATTAAGAAATTATTTTTAAAAAATTGTCAGATTATTATAAAATTTGGTATCTACAGGTTTTCTAAGTTGCTGACAAGTAACACTAGGGAAGTGCCATACGCCGATTTTTCTGAAACTTGGCAGTTTTGTAGTTTTTTGAAAACAATTTGACACGTATGTTTTGTTTTTCCCCAAAAGCTGATTTATGGGGGGAACTACCCCTTGAATTTTTTTTTGGTAGGGGGACATTATTTTACGAAATTTTTTAAAAATTAATGTGCAATAGTGTATCTGGGGGTTTTTTGGGTCACTGATTACGAATCTGATGTCAGATTTCAAAAATTCAAAATGGCATATCCAACATGGACTTCTATCGGTCACATTAGATACGCCATTATCAATTTTTGAAAACTGACATCAGATTCGTAATCAGCGACCCAAAAAACCCCCAGATACAGTATTGCACATTAATTTTTAAAAAATTTCGTAAAATAATATCCCCCTACCAAAAAAAAATTCAAGGGGTAGTTTCCCCCCATAAATCAGCTTTTGGGGAAAAACAAAACATACGTATCAAATTGTTTTCAAAAAACTACAAAACTGACAAGTTTCAGAAAAATCGGCGTATGGCACTTCCCTAGTGTTACTTGTCAGTAACTTAGAAAACCTGTAGATACCAAATTTCATAATAATCTGACAATTTTTTAAAAATAATTCCTTAATATTGAATCAGACATATCGAATTTCGGAAATCTGACATCAGATTCGTAATCAGCGACCCAAAAAACCCCTAGATACCAAGTTTGAAGTAAATCTTAAAATTTTTTCAAAATTCGTCCGCCATATTGGATCCGCCATTTTGGATTTTGAAAATCTAACTTCAAATTCGTAATCAGCGACACAAAAAACCCCCAGATACCAAGTTTGAGGTAAATAAATTAATTTTTTAAAAAATCGCCAACTTGTCAAAATCCGACATGTTTTTTGAGGTTAGAAAAAAATCCTGACGTGATGGAGCAAAACGGTCTTCAGATTCGTGTTCAGCGCGTCAAAATACTTCGGGTTAGGGTATTGCGGTCAAAAGTACATGACACTTTTTTTTTTGTGGGGCTGTGTAAGTAATAATTAATATTAATTTACCTATATATTAGCAAATGATGAACGTTATTATATTTTAAAAATGAGAAATTTTTAACACATCTAGGGGTTATTATATATATATATATACTCAATTTCTACTCATTACCTTATACGTAATCTTATAAATTATCATGTTAAAATAAGAGAATGAAAAATAATAATTAAAAGTTTCCTTATATTTTATCAATATTTTAACTTTTCTTTATTGAACACCACTTGTTAATGTAAAAAGAAAACATTAAACTTTTTACAAGAGATAAAAAGGAATTCTAAATAAAAAACAACAATTGTAAACTTTCCTATGTCAATTAGCTTTAGAATAATTAAGATATAAAACAATTTATTGTTTCCTGTTATTTCTTTTTATATATCGAAGTATCCTCTAAAGAAAATTTACCTTAGTTTAAAATAAATAATGATATAAATATAATTTTATTTTCCTTATTTATATTTGTTAAGATACTTACGCACGAGAATTATATGAAAAATGAAAAGAAACGAGAGATTTTTTTTATTTTGTGTAAAAAGAATCATTAGATAACAAATTTAACTTACAATTTGTTTCACTTTAGTTTGTATATACGTTTTGAAAAATTATATACCTACCTAATTCAACTTGTGAACAATGGACGAGTTTTTTTTTCTTTTCAGATTATCATATTTACTGAGAGAGTTTTTGTTTGAAATTTTAATATTTAATTTAGGAAAATGAAATTATTTAATTTTTAGTATATATAAGTGTATCGAAGTATATGTTAAACAGAAGACAGAAAATTAGTATAGTTCATACGAAATACTAATAATAAACAATCTCCGAATGTTTCCGAAATTATATAACACACAAATTTTCCTTATATAATCTTTGGTATGTATTTATTTACAAACATGAAAAAAAGAAATTCTTAGATACTATAATTATAAATATTTTTTTTTATTTTTAAATAAAAACGCAATGGTTCGTGTGAAAAAATAAAATTTACATACATAGTGTCATGTACTTTTGACCGGAATACCCTAACCCTATGTATTTTGACGCCCTGAACACGAATCTGAAGTCCGTTTTGCTCCATCACGTCAGGATTTTTTTCTAACCTCAATAAACATGTCGGATTTTGAGAAGTAGGCGATTTTTTAAAAAATTAATTTATTTACTTCAAACTTGGTATCTGGGGGTTTTTTGTATCGCTGATTACGAATCTGAAGTTAGATTTTCAAAATCCAAAATGGCGGATCCAATATGGCGGACGAATTTTGAAAAAATTTTAAGATTTACTTCAAACTTGGTATCTAGGGGTTTTTTGGGACGCTGATTACGAATCTGATGTCAGTTTTCAAAAATTCAAAATGGCGTATCTAATATGGCCGACAGAAGTCCATGTTGGATATGCCATTTTGAATTTTTGAAATCTGACATCAGATTCGTAATCTGAGACCCAAAAAAACCCCTATATACACTATTGAACATTAATTTTTTAAAAATTTCGTGAAATAATGTCCCCCTCCCAAAAAAAAATCAAAGGGTAGTTTCCCGCCTTAAATCAACTTTTGGGGAAAAACAAAAAAATACATGTCAAATTGTTTTCAAAAAACTACAAAATTGCCAAGTTTCAGAAAAAACGGCGTACGGCACTTCCCTAGTGTTACTTGTCAGCAACTTAGAAAACCTGTAGATACCAAATTTCATAAAAATCTGACAATTTTTTAAAAATAATTTCTTAATATTGAATCAGACATATCTAATTTCTAAAATCTGACGTCAGATTCGTAATCAGCGACCCAAAAAACCCCTAGATACCAAGTTTGAAGTAAATAAATTAATTTTATTAAAAATCGCCTATCTCTCAAAATCAAACTGCTCCATTTTTTATAAAAATATATTAAAATGTAGCGATTTGAAATTGGTCAGTTAACTTCAAGTCTTTTAATTAACCTTTTTAAATAAAAAATTTTGAAAATTAATATCTCCAAAACGAAGCAAAACACCTTCGTAAGATTTTAATAGAAGGTAAAGAATATTATAAAAAATCTTAATTTTTTCGGAGCACCGACAAAAAAGTTATAAGTAAATAAAAATCTTGAGAATATTTAAATAAAAATTTTTTTTAAAATCGTATATCATCCAAAAATAATAAATTTTTGCAATAATTCTTTCGTTCCTCTGTGCGAAATAAAGTGATTTATGTTTTTGGTGAGTTCCAACATCTAATTTTTAATAGTTTTTTAATAATAGCGTTTTTAAAAAAATTGAAAAATTTAAGGTTACAAAATCACATTGTGCACCTCCTACTTTTGATATTTAATATTTTTAAAGGGAATAAAATTTTTACCATAATATTATGGTTAATAAACTCAGGGAATCATCGAGTTTCACATATATTAAAACTAGATTTTTTTAAAATTTGGTCGCAACCACTATTAGACGAAATTCAGTAGACTAACCCACATGGAAATTATGAAAGCAATTCAAAAGAGATTTATCATTTCTTTTTTTTTAATGCAAATGAATCAATATTTTTTTATTGTTATTTATTGATATATAAAACTACGACTAATTACGACGACGACTACAGACACCATTACGTGCTCCAGCTTCTTGTAAACAAAATCTTGAGCAACAAGTGCCCAAACTTCCATTCTTTCTGCACCGAGATCCATTCTTAATGCAGGCTGGTGCTGGAGGAGTTCCTGGCGGTGTTCCAGGTGGGTGAAATGGTTCAGGTGTTTGTGGGTTGGATGGTGACGGTGTTGGTGGTGCTTGCGACATGACACTAGACGACAACAATACTACGACTGTTGCAATTAGCATGAATATAAATGTGTATACTTTCATTTTTATTTTTCTTCCTGAAAATATTAATAATTTGTATATTATTTTATAAAACCAATAATACATGTTAGATTCTTGTAAGGCAGCGCGTCATCTTCATCGAAACTAAAATTTCGGAAAATTTTCAACACTACTTACTCGAAAACAAGAAAATAAAATACTTTATTCTTAAGGATAATTAATTATTGTCAAGAAATACACAAAAATAATTTTTTTTTTTGAGTTAAAATAATGAAAAAAAATTGATGATGATAAATTAAATATGAGCACCTTTTTACAGGAAAACTATATAACAATACTTTCTCGAAAATAACAAACAAGATTTATTTAATGACTCTGCAGCGTTTGTTTGGATTTCTTTAATTAAAAAACAAATAAACAAAAATTTAATAAAAGGTTATCGTTTAAAAGTTGTTGCTATATACAATGAAAAAATAGTTTAGTTTTGACAAGAAAACGTTTGTTTGTACAATTAAAATTTTGTTAAGACAACAGAAAAATTTTGATTGCTTAAATATTGATCAAACGTTTTGTTGTCAAAACCAAAACCTTTTTTTTAGTGGATGTAATTATATGAGAAGTGAATGTAAATATAATAAATAAAATCAAAAGTACAATACCGTTATAGTAAAAATGCCGACTTTTCTCAGAGAAACTTGAATGATCTTAATATAAAATTTCGAGGAGTTTATATACTAAAATGAAACATATTTCATTGATAACGTAAATAATAAATTTTTCCTTCTTTTATCTTTATTTTATACAAGAAGAGAAAAAAAATTAAATTTTTTATATATTTTTATGACTTGTTGATCTAACAAGACAGTTGCTGAAATTTATTTAAAACTTGTTGTCCTAGTATGCATTGTGAATTTAAGTTTTCTGTTTTCTCCATGTACAATAAGCTTCCAAGAAGATAAATATTGATTAAAATTATTTGATATTCAACAACAATGTTAAGTAATTTTCCTTAATATTTCACATTGTTCAAAATGAGTCTATAACGTGGTTCATTTTAAGTTTACATAAGGTAAATGTATCCATTATAAGACTATTTATAAAATTTCACTTATTATCAGACAAGATTACACCCAAAGAAAAGATTTCTTTGATGTAAAGAAATAAATTTCTTTGACTTATTTTCATTCATTCAAAATAAAATTTTCTTTAAATGAAAGTTTGAGTATTAAATCAAAGAAATTCTAACATTAATTATATAGGGTCAAAGAAACATTTATTTGAATTAAATAAAAAATTTCTTTGGAACGAAGTTATTTTTTTTTAATCAAAATTTTCAAGATTTGAAGGCTGCAGACATTTTTGAACGTAGGAAAAAAAGGATTTTGTCCCACTGTGGGTATCCTTATACTACTTAACCTGGGGGATTGTATGATGCGAATGCTCCACGAAATTGGGATTGAAAATTTGTCTCAAATATATAAAAAATGATAAAATATATAGTTAAATGATTAAAACAATAAGATTTATGTTTTTTATGATTATTATTGTTAAATAATTATAAAAATTTAATGGTTTTATTAATTTCAATCTATTAAAGTTTATTATCAACATTTGTCGATAAAATAAATAGAGCCGCACTTTTTAGAAGGTAGGTGGCAGCACTTTTTTTTTCTTTACTTAAATTTTTCCAGTATTTTTTTATCAAAACCAAATCTTTTATTCGTTAAACTGAAAAATTGGTCAAAAAATGTATTATTTTATCATAAAATTAATATTTAAAAAAAAAATATTGATTTAAGGGTATGTGGGAAAACAAACAAAGATGGCGGCACATTCACAGACGTTGCTTGAATGTGTTAGTGCTCCAGTAAACAGCGCCAATTCGAGCAAGTGTGCACTCAATGAACTACGATTAAATACATTATTTTACTATTTATTGCTTTATTTCTATTATTTAATTTTTTGAAAATTTTTCCAAATTTGTTTTTTACTGTAGCTCAGCATCCGCTGGGCCAATCAAAAATAGCCCCATACATTTTTTGTTCGATACTTTTTTCTAAAGACAGTTATGGTATTCCGGCGCGATTATCTCGCAAATTTAATTTTTCAAAATTTTCTCTAAAATTTATTTGAGTGTAGCTCAGCATCCGCTGGACCAATCAAAAAGTGTGCCATACATTTTTTGTTCGGAACTTTTTGACTATTTTATTGGTGGTATTCGCGACCGATAATCTCGCAAATTTAATTTTTTGTAATTTTTTCCAAATTTGTTTTTTACTGTAGCTCAGAATCCGCTAGACCAATCAAAAAGTGCAC